GTTTGGGCTGGGGGTGTCTCTGTCTGAGATGTTTTTGGGTAACGTCTTCAGTCAAGAACAAGGGGGTTCCAGTAGTTGGTTCGCTTTGCTATGATGCCCTGGTTTGTATTTGGCGTTGAACAGGGAAGAGAAGGAGGTCACAGTGTGAAGTGAGAGATACAGGTTCAAACACAGCTGTTTTCAGATTCCATCTCCAAATTGTCCTGTAGATGACTTGTGTTTTCTCCCTGCCACCGCTCCCGCCAACTTATTTGTTTGTACCTTTGCAAGGACTGCAATCAACGCCCCAGACACTGGGACAAGGCAGGAGTGGAGTGACCTTGTATCGACTTAAGTTTGGGTGAATTGTTCTAGGGAGTTGAAGTCGCCAAAGAGAACCCTGTACCCTATGGTTATTGTATCCTAGGACTGCACTTTGACAGAGAGCCAGTGTCATTGGCCGTAGCACCATGGATACTGAGCCCTTCCTGCCCAAGCTGTCCGTTTGGTTGAAGCTTCCGACTCTGTTTCGTGACAGAAAGACAAACAAACATTGACTCATATGTGTGCCATTGCCAGGTCATATAAATAAATGGAAAGCGGTCACGCAACGAATGAGGCTCAAGTTCATCATTGGGTAATTTGTGATGTTGGTTGACTGCATCGGGTTACTGGGTGGCTTTGGTTGTGGCGACGCTTGTTGGCCCGTGCTCCTGACACAAGCTACCGGGGAAACAAGGGTTTGGATCCCGGGTTCTCGTTTGGCGAATCGGAAATCATCTGTCATACTGCCAAGAATGAGGCCAACAGCGCGGGCGGTGTGAAGAAAAACAGCGGTCTGATGCACAGAAGAACGGCGTGTACTTTCAACGATTGAAGACAGATCCAAGGCATCATCACCACTCGCCACGGCCTGCTTCAGCCAACCACAAGGCTCCTGTTCTGCTCCTTCCTGGAAGCACCTACCTCATTTCAATGAGCCTGAAACTGACGTTGACAAGTTCAACAAGGCAGATTTAGCTTCGCTTCCTGAAGCATTGCAGGGGGTGGATTCACAAGCTCCAATGCATTGAGGCCAACTGCAACAAACATCTCGCCAATGCTTGACTTCTTCCATCTCAAGGTTGAGAGAAGGCAAACGTGTCACTGTCCGCTGACTGCTTTCACATCCCCCCCTCTATTGGCAAATACCTTATCCATCCCTTGTCTTTGTGGTTCATAAATGCTTTCTGTTTCTCTCCTTTTACGGCAAATAGGGTTTCCTTCCACTGCCTTCTGGCTCCTTTTATTGCTGCCCTAACATGCTCTTGTTTGTTCCTTGCCCGTTATGGAAAACAGGTAACGTGTTTTATCAGCGAGTGCACCATATCAGCGAGTGCACCACTGGTAAGGGCTGCACAGACACTTAGTCGAAGTACTAACAACTTATTCCCCGCTTATTCCCGTTGTTAGTGCTGCACCCAAATATATATGCAGCCCTTACCAGTGGTGCACTCGCTGATATGGTGCATTCGCTGATAAATCACGTTAATAGTTGCCAATTATCGCCACTCCTCAGCTCGATTTCGATTCATTAAGCGCTGTTCAAGCGGACGGGCTACAGACTTCTCATTCGAGGGACCACGCGAACACGCAACTCTAATCGCCTGCTCTTTGGCACCCTTCCACGTCGCGGGCCGTTATTCATCATCCTGCTCCTACCTGCACGTATAACATACTTGCCACTCCCCTGCTGTTTTACGGTTTCACGAGCTCTTGCCATCATTAGCGAGCAACATAAAATACCACCTGCGGGCGTTATCTTTTCGTTCGCTCAACTCCGATCGTGTTGGAGAGCGAACCAAGAACTGTGACTACCTTCACCAGCAGTTCACAAATCACGTCGTAGCTACCTACAAACCGCTTTACAAATCCTTCTTCATTGCTCTCTGCACACAGGCAACCAAATAGCAGACGACAGACTGTCGGGATCCGCGGCAATCGGCTGCGGCAGCAACATATATCTGAAGCATCTATTCAGCTCAATCAAGTCCCTTCCTTTCACTCTCCTCACATTCATTTTTTTATACATTCACACCATCACGCTTTTGCACCACAAGCTTTTCATCGCTAGTTCACCATGGCTGACAATCGTGGTCATGGTGGTGGAAGAGGCCGCGGAGGTGGCTTTGGCTTTCGGGGCGGCCAAGGTGGAGCTCCTTTCCAGGGTCGTGGCGGCGGCCAGCAAGGCGGTGGTCGCGGCGGGTCTCAAGGCGGCGGTTACCGAGGAGGCGGCCAGCAGGGTGGTGGTCGCGGAGGCGGTTACCAAGGCGGAGGTCATCAAGGTGGTGGCCGAGGACGCCGCGGCGGCGAATTCCGCGGCGGCGGATCCAGGGGTGGTCGTGGGGGAAACTCTGGTGCTGATGTTTTCAGGTGAGTCAACCATTGTCAACCCATTATACCAAGTCGCCTGTTGATGATATTAACATGTTCTGTGCTTAGCGCCAGCCAGGGGCCAGTGGTGGCTGATAAGACAATCGAAGAGCTTGAGAACCGCTGGATCGAGCAGCACGGCATTCCGGTCACCAAGACCTCGGCGGGTCAGCTTGAATCCAAGATGGCCAGCCTTTCCATCAAGGATGCGGTCCTCCCTTTCCGGCCCAGGTTTGGCGAATTGGGCAAGCCGGTCACACTTTGGGCCAACTATTTCAGGTTGAGACCCGCCGTCAATTCCCTCTGGAGGTACGACCTCAAAGTCACTTCCAAGAGAGTGACTGAAGAACAAGCCGCCGCTGCCAAGGAAAAGCATAAATGGAAAGGCAAGCCGCATCAGCCGCAGTCGGGTGACGGGCAACAGGAGGAGGTCAAGGAGCCCAAAGGCAAGAAGCTGGAAAAGCTCATCAAGCTTGCCCTGACCCGGCTGAATAATGCGGTCTGTGCGACCGAATACAAACAGCAGCTGATCACGCTGGAGAAGCTCCAGCTCCCGGAGGGAAACATCATACAGCTCGACCTCGTTGAGCCCGGTCGCAAAGGCGAGACATGGTTTGTCCGCTTTGTCGGGCCGAAATCCATCGACATCGGGGGCTTGATGACCTACTTGCAGACCCTGGACGAGACAGGCCACGAGACCGTGTTTCCTAAGTTTCCCGACGAGGTCGACGCACTCGGCATCGTCCTGGGCCATACTCCAAGGTCGAACCCCAACACTGCTGCCGTTGGGCGCAGTCGCTTCTTTGCCATTGATGACAACAGGAAGGACGGTGTAAGTCCCTATAGAAGTCTCTTGGAGATCCTGCGTGGCTATGTCCAGAGCGTCCGGCCAGCGACTGGCCGGCTACTGTTAAACGCCAATGTCACCCACGGTATTTTTCGTCAACACGGCTCGCTGGCCGCACTTTTCGAAGAATTCGGGCTCGTGACCCTCAACCAGCCCGAGACGCTCACTGTTGAGCATCGACAAACTCTCGAGAAACTCCATAAGTTTCTCAGCAAAGCCCGTATTCGCTGCAAGGTCCCGGGTGAGGAAGTCGAGATTGAGCGGACGATGGCCGGTTTAGCTACGACTAGGGACGGCACAGGAGACAATCCCAGGCCACAGTTCCAGCATCCAAACTTCCGTTTTACTTCTCCGGCCACGGTTGAGTTCCATCTCCGCCCACCGAGCACTCCGGGCGCGACGCCACCCCCTGGCCATACTTTCGGGAACATGGTTGTTGTCTCTGATTACTACAGAGCCCGTGAGTTTCTGTGTTTTCCCGCTGTCCTCCTCATCTTTGCACAAGCTAACCGCAACAGGATACGGCATCAATCCAAGGATTGGCCTTCCCTTGATCAACGTTGGGACCACAGCGAGACCCATTTTCGTCTTGGCCGAGCACTGCACGCTGGTTCGAGGGCAATCGGTTAAAGCAAAACCTTCACCCTCGGAGGCGGACGCGATGATCAAGTTTGCCTGTCGCCCGCCGCCTGCAAATGCCGAATCAATCACGACTTCAGCCAGACAGCTGCTCGAGCTGGACAGCAACAAGTTGCTTGTAAGTCTTGCCCAAAATAACGTGAATCTTATCGAACGCTCAGGTGCTCATGGTCTGCAGAGTGAATTCGGTATCACGGTCGACAAGGACCTCATTGCAGTCAAGGGCCGCGAACTTGCACCGCCGACCGTCTTGTACAGGAACCTGGTACCAGTCAAACCAGAGAATGGGGCCTGGTTGATGATGAAAGTCAAGGTCGCAAGGGCCGGGTCGCCCATCAAGAACTGGAAGGTCCTGGTGATCGGGAGAGCGACGTTGACTGCGATCACACCCCATGTTGAGAAGTTCGCCAATTTCTTGAACAACAACATGGGCTTCCCGATCAATGCACCGACCAGCCTCCACCACTGTCAAGGCGAGACTGAACAGGACCTGCGGAACGCTTTCCAGGCTATTTCGAAGCCGAAGCAGGGGCCGCCGCCGCAACTTGTTCTGGTAGTCCTTCCGAGAAAGGATACACTTATTTACAATACCGTGAAGAAGCTGGCAGACGTTGACTTCGGCCTCCAAACTGTCTGTGTCCAGCAAGCAATGCTGCTGCAGGAGAGGGGGCAGGCCGGCTACTTTGCCAATGTTGGCCTCAAGGTGAACTTGAAGTTTGGCGGCGCCAATCACAGCGTCGAGGATGGCACCGGGCTCACCAAGAACACCATGTTTGTTGGCTATGACGTTACGCATCCCACCAACCTTCCTGCCGGAGCTGGCGAGAATGCGCCCAGCTTGATCGGCCTAGTCTCGAGCCGTGACAGAGAGCTGGCTCAGTGGCCGGCCGTTACATGGGAGACCAGAGGCCGGGTTGAAAATGTCGGAAAAGGGGATGACAAGGGCCAAAAGTTTGTCGGGCACTTCAAGGACCGCATCAGGCTATGGCAGGATCACACTAAGCAGCTCCCGGAGAATATCGTCATCTTTCGCGATGGTGTCTCGGAAGGACAGTTCAGGATGGTCCTCGATGATGAGCTGCCACACATCCGCGAGGCGTGCCGGCAGACATACGCAGGAAAGAAGCAGCCGCGGCTCTCTCTGATTGTCTCTGTTAAGAGGCATCAGACTCGCTTTTATCCCACCGACCCGAACCACATCCACCCCCGGTCCAAGAGCCCCAAGGAGGGGACCATCGTTGACCGCGGTGTGACCAACGTTCGTTACTGGGACTTCTTTCTGCAGGCGCATGCGTCACTCCAAGGTAAGCCAAGTCTGTTCTGTGTGCCATTTGTTACAGCAGCTCCTCTAACCCAAATATCACAGGTACCGCCCGTCCGGCTCATTACACGGTTCTTCTTGACGAAATTTTCCGAAGCGAGTTTGGCCATAAGGCCGCCGACATGCTCGAGAAGCTGACACATGAGATGTGCTACGCCTACGGCCGGGCTACCAAGGCCGTTAGCATCTGTCCGCCGGCCTACTACGCGGACCTGGTTGCCGGGCGGGCGAGGATTCACAAGAGCGAGCTGTTCGACGACACTCGGTCCATGTCGTCGACGCAGCAGGCTCAGGTCTTGGGCCGGACGGTGCACCCCAATCTCAGGAACACCATGTACTATATCTGAGGTGGGATGAGCCATGGTGAGGAGCACTGCTGAGGTCGCTGAATTCATGCAGTACGCAGTGGCCGAATTTGGGTCATCTCTGGGGGATGGCAGCAGCGAAGCTGGTGACGCTTGCTACGTAGCAGATTGGACATCTCAAAAGCGGATCATATGGGATTTTTCAGTTGGCTCACCATACTTGCACCATTGCAGAAGAGGATGCTAGGAAAAGCGGACCACGGAGTTATTGCTTCTTACCGGCTGACAAAGCTTGAGCATTCACTGGAATTTCTTGTATCGTAGCCTTTCGAGGTATTGCGGATAGCATGACATAGACTGAAGATTGTAGCAAATATTTCTCCCTGCTCAACCCGTCCTGCAAGCACTTGTGAGTGGTGAGTAGTTTGTCAAACATGAATGTGTGCAGAGATCTGGGAATCAGGGGCAGCAACAACCAAGGCAAATCCAGGGTTAGAGTTGTTTAAAGCCACCTCTCACGTGATCCACCTCGCATCCAGCAAGTCCAGTCACAGCGATTGATGTGCGCGAACCAACATCAAAGCTGCTGCAGCTCGACAGCAGCCGCTCGACACGACTGCCACCCATTGCAAAAACACACATCCAAGTGTCGCTCGCTCAGCGACAAGCAAAACCCCTCTCCACTCTTCCCCGGAGCACGCACGACGAACTCTCTGACGATCGTGTGGAGTTCAATCGAGCGTGCCTCTTCCACCTCGGTCCGACTCCGAAACCGCCGAAAGCTGCGAAACGGCCAATTCACTCAAACCCCGACCTTTCGACGACAAGTTCACAAGAAGCCAAAGAGTAACAAAACAAAAGATGTCGGCTCTCCGTCCAGCAGCCCGCGCCGCCGTCCGCGCCACCACCACCACCACTACGATCGCCTCTTCCCCCGCCTACGCATCAACAGCCCTCGTCCCGGCCCGCTTCCGCTACTTCTCGACGACCCCCCGCCGCGCCGGCGGCGGCGGCATGCAGTATGACCCACCCTCGGGCTGGCTGTGGGGCGTGCGCCCCGGCGAGAAGTACCAAAACGAAGGGTGGGAGGGGCCCTTCTTTTACGGGTTCTGGGGCAGCATGATTGTCTTTGCGGTTGCGTATGCCTGGAAGCCTGATACTTCGTGAGTTCCCTCCTCTCTTTCAGCATTATGTTCCTGGTTCACTGCCTTTACTGTCTTGGGGAGAAGGTGTGGCGGGGTGAACGGGTGGTGGTGAGGGATTTGATGCTGACTGGATGCGGTTGCTGTAGGATTCAGACTTGGGCGCTGGAAGAGGCCAGGAGGAGGTTGGAGGCTGAGGGGATTCTGGAGGATGAGGAGCAGAAGAAGTAGATGGGGGATGGCGTCTTTTGTCGCTGGGCAGGTGGGAGAGCTAGGAAGGGCTCCGGGTCTGAGATGGTGCGATAGTGGGATAGACGGGCGATGGTTTCTCGAGTTCAGCCAGAGAGATGCAACCGCATACATAATCTCGCGTAGAGATGTACATGCTTTTGTTTTGGTTGGTTTTCTGTCTGTCGCTGTCCAGCCTTCATGGCATGGGCGGAACCACACGCTTGCCCGACTGCTGTCTGGATAGGGAGCTACTGTTGAAATGAGATGTGTCATGGTCTGCGGAACGGCTCACCAAAATCACTACTCAGATTACCGCCCTGCTATATACAAGTCTATATTCACCATGTAAACAACGCCATCTAGCACACGTAGCTCCACTCGTGCGGGTCGTCGCCGTACTGCCGCGCCTCGATCCAGTTCTTCATCTTCGTCGCAATCTCGCCCGACTCCTCGTGGTCCTTCAAGCCGCAGTGCACCAGCTTCCCTTTCCAGCTGATGGCGCGCACGGGGCTCACAATGGCCGCCGTGCCGGCGCCAAACGCCTCGACCAGCCTGCCCTCGCTGGCAGCCTCGTCCAGCTCCTTCATGGTGTACTTGCGCTCGACAATGTTCCACCCTTCGGGAGCCAGCCTCTCTCTCGCCAGCGAGAGTACCGAGTCGCGCGTGACGCCCTCGAGGATGGTGCCGTCGAGCGGCGCCGTGATCAGCTCCTTCTGGCCCGTCTGCTTGTTCTTGATGGCCACGAAGAAGTTCATGGTGCCGACCTCGGTGACGTATTCCTCCTCGCCAAACAGCCACAGGTTCTGCTGGAACCCGCGGCTCATGGCCTCGCGCTGTGGCACAATGCACGGCGCGTAGTTAGCGCCCAGCTTCTTGTCGCCCACGCCGCCGGGCCAGGCGCGCACTGCGTAGTCGGTCGCCTCGAGCGACACGGCCTTGAAACCCGTCGGGTAGTAGGGTCCGACGGGGGAGGCGATGACGAAGAGGAGGGCAGAGCCCGGCGGTCCGACGCCGAGCGTCTTTTGGGTGCCGATCATGGTCGGGCGCAGGTACAGCGAGTAGCCGCGCTCCTCGGGGATGAAGCGGCTCTCGAGCTTGGTGAACTGGGCGATCAGGTCGATGAGGGCGGTCGAGCTGAAGTTGGGAAGGGCGATGCGCGCGGCCGATTTGTTGAAGCGTTCCATGTTCTTGTCCGGGCGGAACAGCCGGATCTGGCCTGCCTTGTCCTTGTAGGCCTTCATGCCCTCGAAGCATTCGAAGGCGTAGTGGAAGACACACGTGGCCGGGTCGAGCGAGAGGTTCTGGTACGGCACAATGTGCGGTTTTTGCCAGCCGGTCGTCTTGTTCCACTCGATGGTGAGCATGTGATCTGGACGGCGAAGGAGGCAGTCAGCGCAGTGTTCTTCCTCCGTTAACAGTTTTCAGCGAGCTACCTGTGAAGTTGCGCCCGAAGATGAGATCCTCTGCCTTCTTGAGCGGCTTGGGGTTTGATGCCTTGTTGATCACCAGCTGAGACGGGTCAATGTCCTGCAGCTTGGTCTCGGATGCCGCCTCCGGGGTGATGCTATACTGGCGCGCAGCTTGGAACAGGCCGAGCGGTGACCGCCGCGGCGCAACGAACGCCGCGGCGCGAGGAGCACATCGCGAAAAGAGTGGCCGCATCATGTTTGCGGCTGCTGTTCCGGGAGGGAGGACCAATTGGCTGCTCTGGCAATCATTCACAGGAGCGCGAGATCCGATTAAGCAGGCGGAATAGCGACAGTTGGGAGGATGATTCAACGCTCCAGACTTATGGGATGGATACCTGATATGGTAAGCTGTTGATATTTCTCGGAGCGTAATCGGAGACGGACGATAAGATTAGCGCTTTGAAACCTGGCAAGCGAACTGATCCAATCAATTTGGCTGGGCCCTGGTTTCCTTCGCAAAGCGTCGGCATTGCTACCGTGGTAAGCCGCTTGAAACATCACCTACATACCTAGTTGACAGCAAACGACTTTCCATTCTATTTTCTTTGCCCTCGCAGCGCACGTTAAGCTCTATTCAAGTTGCCTTAATCAATTAGATGTTTTAGGCTACATTCCTTTTCTTGCTCTCTATCCCTTTCGTGTACTACTTGATGATTAGTAGGGAGCCATCGCAGTGTCTTTTCTGGCTGTTGAGACAGGTTCCTTGTTCGCAAAGCAGCTGTATGAGAAAAGACGGTAGACCCACTTCCGAGACACAGCGAATGTGGGGTTGTCAAAGCCCCGGCCCCTGTCCTTCATGTCGCGTCGACTGCAGTGCATCAAAGACAAGTACGCCAAAAGCTATCAGATCAATCGACATTCCATCCCTCGAGTCCCGGCCCTACCATATACGCCCGGTTTTTGCCCGGTCATCGCGACGTGATTGCAACACCGTTTGTGCCAGATAGTATTGCGTCTCTAATGACATTCCAAGACGGGTCCAACCTTTAGGCGCCGTCCGAGCAGGCGAGGCGTCGACGCAGGCAGAAGACGCCCAAGTTCGCATCGCCAACCCGACAATCGCCATGATAACCAGGTGACCAACACCCAACATGTTCGCCAACGCCCTCAAATCGCTTGCCTCGACCAACATCTCGGCCAACTATACCATCTCCCCCAACCTCACGTCGATCGCCGGCCCTTGGAAGATTTACCCTGCCAAGAACAAGAAGACGGGCAAAGAGTTCTCCGTCTTCATCTTCGACAAAAAGTCGATCGATGCCCACCGCGGTGGCATGAGCCGCGCCGAGGCGGCAGACTTCAAGAGGGCCCTTGATGAAGTCGTAGAGCGGCTGAAGAAGGAGGCCTCGGCCCTCGCCAGGCTGCGGCACCCCGGCATTCTGGAAGTGGTGGAACCAGTTGAGGAGACCAGGGGCGGCGGTCTGCAGTTCGTTGCAGAAGCTGTGACGGCGTCTCTCTCGGGCCTGTTACAAGAAAAGGATGATCAAGAAAGAGGTGGCTCAGGTGGTCGATCGAGTCGGTACGTGACCGAGGATGCCGACGGAACCCGCAGGAGACGGGAGCTCGAGATCGACGAACTCGAGATACAGAAGGGCTTGCTGCAGGTCAGCAAGGCACTCGAGTTCCTGCACGAGAACGCCGGTCTTGTTCATGGCAACCTAACGCCAGACTCCATTCTCATCAACGCCAAGGCAGGTACATGCTGTATCCTACCATCTCGGGAAGTTAGACTGACCTGAGACAGTCGGATTGGAAACTCAGCGGTTTATCCTTTTGCGGCCTGATGGAAAACTCGACCGCTCAGGGCTCCATCCAGCCCATCAACCTGCGGGAGGTGCTACGACACACCCCTAGCTTGCCCCGGACCGTCCAGTTGAACATCGACTTTACTTCTCCAGACTTCGCCATCGACAATAACCTCACACCATCGGCTGACATGTTCAGCTTGGGGCTGTTGATTATCTCGCTATACAATTCTCCTCACAAGTCTCCCTTGTCAACCAATGGCAGCCTATCAGCGTATCAGCGCCTCTTCCAGTCCTCGCAGAGCATCCCAAACTCGACCAACAACTTTCTTTCCTCCAGGCCGTTGCCAAAGGAGCTCACGAACCATGTGCTTCCCAGGCTCATTACTCGCAGACCCGCTCAGCGGATGACGGCCACCGAGTTTCAACAGAGCGAGTTCTTCAACAACATCCTCGTATCCACCATCCGCTTCCTCGACGCTTTCCCTGCCAAGACCCCGAACGAGAAGTCACAGTTCCTCAGGGGCCTGATCAAAGTGCTGCCGTCGTTCCCCAAGTCTGTTTTGGAGAGGAAGCTGCTGCCCGCCCTGCTCGATGAGCTGAAGGATAAAGAGCTCCTCTCCCTGGTCCTGCATAACGTATTCAAAATCATCGAACTGCTACCGTCCGGAAAGAGGGCGTTCAGCGACAAAGTGCGACCCAGCCTCAAGGAAATATTCGTCACCAACGTCAAGCAGGCTCAAGAGAAAGACGCCGCTCGTGACGCAGGCCTCATGGTTGTCATCGAGCAGCTTCCTGTCATTGGGGAGAATTGCGCTGGCAAGGAGTTCAAAGATGGTCAGTGCGGATGCAGGCGAGCCAGCGAGGATCGACTAACAGTTTCCAGATATTCTGCCCGTCATCTTCAACGCCTTGGAGTCCCCGACGCCCTCGCTCGTGGACGCAGCCTTGAGGAGTCTCCCGTCGGTACTACCCCAGTTGGACTTTAGCACCATTAAGAACGAACTGTTTCCAGTCATCGCGACAATATTCAGCAGGACGAACAGCCTTGCCATCAAGATCAGAGGTCTGCAGGCCTTCGTCACGCTTTGCGGAGGCTCAATTGATCCCAGCGGTGACGATGGGCTCGACGGCCTTGCGCCCCAAATGAAGAAGGCCACCTCGCCCACCGCCTTGGATAAGTTCACCATGCAAGAGAAGATCGTTCCTCTGATCAAGGGCATCAAGACCAAAGAGCCAGCCGTCATGATGGCCGCGCTCAACGTTCTCCAAGTCGTAGGCAAGGTGGGTGATGCCGACTTTGTCGCCTTGGAGATTCTCCCCACCTTGTGGAGCATGAGTTTGGGTCCGCTTCTGGATCTCAAACAGTTCCAAGCTTTCATGGAGCTCATCAAGGCTCTGTCGAGCAGGGTAGAAGAAGAACAGGTTAAGAAATTGCAAGAGCTGGCCGGTGGTAGTGCCAGCTCATCCGCCATCAAGGACGACTTCTTGTCGTTTGGTCCCGTTGCTGCTTCATCCCTCGACGCTAACGGAACCGAAACGGACTTTGAGTCCCTGGTTAAGGGAGGGTCTAGCGCAGTCTCTGCCAACCCCTTGGAATCTGGGTGGGACAGCATGACTCTAGCCACAACCGTTACATCTCCTACTGTGAGCAGCAGAAAGTCCACGCCGACAGCCACATTCTCGTGGTCGAGTCCTCCGGCTGCCCCGGTTGCAGCTCCCACTAACAAGTTCGGCGTCGTCAAAACTCAGCAGCCGGGATTCAGGACGGTGACCCCCGATCTTGCAAGCTTTCAACCCATGACCCCGTCGGCTACGCAATATTCACAACCTCTCCAGCCGACTTCGAACGCCATTAGTAGCACATCAGCAACGCCCCTGGCAGCCCAAGCAACGACATCGATCAACTGGGGCGCCACGACGGCGTCAACCAGTAACAGCAATCCGTGGTCGTCCCCTCCCGCATCACATCAACCACCCATATCTAGCTTCGGCTCACTCTCCCTCAATCCACAACAACAAACTCAAAACACCACACCATCCTTTTCCCTACCGGCCCCGCCGGGCGTTAGCACTGGTCCCAGTTTGTCAAACTTCAGCCTCGCCCCTCCGCCAGGCACATCACAATCCGCGCAAAGGCCACGGATGACGACAGCAACCTCGACACCCGCATTCGGCGGGCTAGGTGGGATGAACAGCATGAACAGCCTGGCATCAAAGAGCACAGCAGCAGCCAACAAGACTGGCGCGAGCCTCGGTACGGGCATGGCTGCCACAATGAGCCTGAACACGAATATAGGTATGAGTATGGGGAATGGCACGAGTATGAATAGCATGATGGTTATGGGAATGGGCATGGCTGGCATGGCACACCAGCAGCAAAATCAGGGTCAGGTACAGGGTCAGAAGACGGGGTTGGACAAGTACGAGAGTCTGTTATAGAATGTGGGGCATGGATGGTTGGGATGGGTGGCCGTTTTAGTGAAGGCGGATGGGATTTCAATGGTGCGTTTTCCCATGGACATGTGGGAGTGATGACCGTGAGTTAGGTTCGAGTGAGGGGTGGCTCAGCAAGGTAACAACGAAACACCAGCACTGCCTGGGTCAAGGATTACACCTCATTTTCAGCGACCACTCTGTAAGCTTCTCTTGCGTAGACGGTCTGGCAAATTGGCGCCGAAATTACCTACCCCTCAACTGCGTTTCCGGTTCTATATCTCAGACAACTGGGACAAAGGCGCAGTACACAACCGCCTCTTGAAACTCATAACTCCTAACCTCTAAGCGGGCATCTCATCACACTTTAGCGGAAGCGCAACACATCTCATGAAGTCTCGTCCTACTTCACAGCTCGTATATTCCGAACGCCCATGCCAAGCCCCATTGTGCTTGAAGAAGCGCCCCCTGTCAACCGGCCAACAGCGACCCAGCGGCTGCCTGCCCGAAGTCCTGCGTCATGTATCCCGTATGTACGTGTCTAACAAAGATGAAATGCCAGTCCCCATGGCAAACGTCACCAAAACAGTCTGTTCATGTCTTCTGTCTGCCCAAGAGACTGACCCGCGCTCGGTCCGGAAGCGAAAGATGAGTGGCAGCAAGAACAGAGAGAGATAAGTAGGAAAGGGAAGGGAAGACAAAACAGGGTATCATGCAATGTCTCATGCCAGAAAATAAGGAAAAGAGCAAGACAGGGGATAGGGGAAAACAAGGAGAGAAGAACAAGCCCCAAGCCCGGCAACCGCGCTGTGAACCACACGGCCCATCGAGAACAATACCGCCATCACTTATCCTCCTTCTCCTGCGCCTTTTCCGTCCTCACGGCCCCCCGTTTCTCCTCCTTCACACCGCCCTCCTCCTCGTCGGCATCCGCGGCATCGGCCTCCAGCGGGGGAAACACCTGCGTAAAGACATGCCTACTCGCCCACCCTTCGGCCAAACTCGTCTCAACAACCTGTCCCTCGGGCACCATCTCATGCTTGAGCTCCCACCCGGCCCGCCGACACAGCTCCGCCACGACGACATCGCAGTCGCCCAACAAGTCAATATCGAAATTGACGTGCGACACGGGCGTGCGGCTGATGTAGATCTGCGGGATATTGGGCGGCAGAAACGGCACCACCTCGCTCACGGGCGCAACCTTCAAACTCGTGCCAATGACGATGACCAAATCCACCAGATCGCGGTCGTGCTCCGTCAGGCGGCGCGAGAACTCGTCCGGCAGCGGCTCGCCGAAGAAGGTGATGTCGGGCTTCATCACTCCACATGACCAGTTCGTCGGGGTATCAAACTCCGAGTCCGAGTTGCTATCATAGTCGCCCGGCCTACGGCGGGGCTTCTTGTCGGTGCCGTCGCGATTGACCTTGCGCTTGCGCGATGTGGACGAGCTGTTGACCGTCGTCCGGCTGCCCTGCGCGCACTTGCGGCAGCGCGGGATCATGCCGGCTTTGATCTCCGGGAAGAGCGACTCGCCGGGGACCTTGTGGCCACACTTGACGCAGGACGCGGTCGCGAAGGAGCCGTGGCACTGGATCAGCTTGTCCGGCTTGATGCCGGCTTTGGCTTCGAGGTTGTCGATGTTTTGGGAGTAGTTGGTCAGCAGCTTGCCCTTTTCTTGGAGGAGCGCGATGAAGGCGTGCGTGGGCGAGAAGCGGTCGTGGCTGGGGAGGATGTCACGCGCGACCGAGTAGAAGATGGTTGGGTCCTGGCGGAATACGGTGATGTCGAAGACTTCTTGCGGATCGCTGAGCCCGAGGTGGGCGAGTTTGGAGTAGAGACCGGTGCCCTTGGAGCGGAAGTCAGGGATGCCGAGTGAGGTGGAGATGCCGGCGCCGGTCAGAACGATGATATTCTTGGACTTCTTGAGGAGTTCGACCGCGTCATCAACGGTGTTGTACTTTGTGAGCTTGGCCCGCTTAGACAACTCGCGGCTCAGGGCAAGACTCAACAGGGAGTAGTAGGCCTCGTCGTCGGCGCCCTCGAGGAAGGCGGGCGGGCGGATGCCAAAGGCGGTTAGGAGCTTCTTGGCCGTGATCAGGCCGGAGTCGATGGTCCTCTCGCAAAAGACGGTGGGGCCAACAGAACGCAGGAGTCGGCGGAACTCGGTAGCCTCATCTGAGGTGCAGGCCTCAGGATCTGCAGGAGGTGTTAGTATGCTGATGGCATGAAAAGGAGCTTATGACAGGGGTTCACTTGCCTTCGGTGAAGAAGCGATCCTCGGCCAGATCCTCCAAGGCATCCTGAAAGAGGGACTCGGTTTCCCAAGACTCGCTGAGGTCATTAACGCGCTCCTCGAGTTCACTGATACCCGGGTTGGGGGCGTTCTTTGGCTCAGCATCGACCGCTTCGGTCAGTTCCACAAAGGCGCGCTTCTCATCGTAGTCGACCACGTTCTTGACACGAGTGCTGGGTTTCCTGGTGGCAGTGGCGCCGTTGGTTGTGCCGTTTTCGGCTGAGGCGTCGCGAGATGAGCCCATTATGGTGCTGTTGTGTCTTTGTGTCAGGTGGAGTGTTTTGGTCATGTGTTGAGTGACAAAAACAAGAGCCGTCGGTAATTGAGCGAGACGGGCAAATGGAGTAGAAATAATAGGCGACGACGCGCCAATCAGGAGCAAGATTATTACGACGCAGGCAGAGTGCCGGAAATGGTGGACGACTACTCGGAGGTGAGTGAGAGTGAAAGTGAGAGTTGGGTGAGTAAACGGAACAAGGCGCTGGAGATTGAGAATTGATTGAGGAAAAGAGTGAAGAGAGAGAGAAAGAGCCGGGGGAGCAAGTTTGTTTGGGCTTGGCGAAAGTCGAGGTGAGAGAGTGGCAACTCGGTCGGAAAAGCTTCAGTCAGACAGATTCGGCGATAAGTGAACCAGCAGTGGCAGAGTGCCCGTTTCAGAGAACAGAGAAGTCCAGGAATTCTGCTCGCATGGACACCAAATCTTGAATATGGTCGTTTGTGCACGTAAAAGCAGAGGGGAATGGATGAGGGTTCTGAAGTGCTCCGTAACGGGTTAAGTGTTTAAAGGCAGCGACTGGGTCGAACTGATGATCCAGTTCTCTGAGCCTGTAATGTGTAGAATCAATGTTAAGTTTGATCAGAACCTTTGAGTTTTGGGACTGACAGGATAGTTATGCCGCAGATAAGACATGAGATGAGCCGATAATCAGTGCTACAGTATACTGTAACTGTCTCAAGATTCCACTTCGGCAATCACCAAACAATACGGATGATACAACTTTAATCGAATACTGGCTTGCCTAGGTGCCCGAGCCATTGGAAACAAGTAACAGCGTTGTACCGAGTACTACGGTATTCAGTGTTTGAATCAAGCAAATACGTCGGCTCTGACACCGCCAGGCTTTTCAGATCCTTTAGCTGGTACGAATAAGGTACGGTAAGTTACCCTATTATGGGGCTGATCCAGCTGCCCTTGCTCAGCCTCGCTGCCTTTTCGCGACAGATTGTCGAGACAATGTGGAGGCACTTGGTCATGCCACGGACCAGCCCGCCCAATCAACTTATACCGCAGATCTGCGATCTTACCTTCCTGATGACTCTATTCGTCCCTTGACCTGCGACAAGCAGTTAGGTTTCGAGAGAAAAGTCATGTTGTACGATCCAAAAGTCTCTCTTTCTTTTCTCCTCCTTTTTTCCCAATAATAGACGGCTCTCTAGGTAGTGAGGCAATCAAGCAACCTACAGAGTAGGCACCCAAGTCAACCTCAACCCTGACCCAACTGAAGAGATCAGAGCGCTTTCCCTCATAAAAGGTTGACGTCAGGTACCGCCGTATCCCATCGTTCCAAGTCAAATACCTACATACCGGAAGCACCACCCGAGGCGCGGCAGTTCACGTCTGGGCGTCACTGGTCTCGCGGTCTATATATTATCCATTATCACTGCCATCCTCAACGCCATCATCAGCCTCGGCCTTCGTCTTCCACATTTACTTCCAACAGGCGTCTTTAAGAGTTGGGCAATCTTACTGTAACCAAGTTCTCTTATATGCGCCTTTTCCTCGGCCGCATCTCCAACTAACTCGCCATCAGAACACCACACTCTCACGGGCAACCCAGTTAGGATGGAAGATGGAGCAGAACTGCCTTTCCAACCATACAACAAGCTCCACCATCACTCGATCAGCCTTCTCTGCTTTCTGTACCGAGTCGCCAACCATGGTCATGCGTTCGAAACCTCAATAGGAACCCCGAGCTGGATGTGTTGGTTTAGCACGCCGGATCTGTTCCTTCTCCAGGTCCTCGAGGCTGGCCTCTTGCTCGGCCTGCTCACGGGTCCCACGGTTCTGCTTTCGGTAGATATAATCAAGGCGCGCGTCTTCAGGCCTCGGACTGGAAGTCCGATGTCCGGTTATTCAGATGGCTTGGGCTTACAGCTTGGCTGCAAATGTGCCTGGTGCTGTCTTACCGCTTGCTAGGTGGGGAGTGTATCGGAGAATACCAGCGGTACGGACTGGATATCTTCTTAATGAGTGTAGCGGTTCAGTTTCTTCTAGAGCGATAGGCATTAAGACACAGTTGATACTAGTCCGGCGCCGAGTGTAGCTGTTTACCCAGTCACAGGCAATCATATATGCCTTATCAGAATGTTTCTATGTTGAAAACGGCTTATTGTTTGCTGACTTCTCTGCGTGCGTCGCACTGCAGCACACCAGGACAACAGGGTCAAGTCCTTGGGCTACACTCAGACTTGGAATCAGCTGTTATAGGACAAAGATGTTTCCGCCTTCGAGACTTAGAGTCCAACCCTGGCCTTGTTCGCTAACGTAGAACTTGAAAAGGAACTCGGACACACCAGCCGATATTCATTTCCTTCTTCTTTCTTCTTATTACCTTTCCTCTTTTCTCTTCGCTTCTCTTCTTGCTTCCTTCGTCTCCCTTAAGTCTTGCTTAAGTCTTCCCCTTCTTTTTTCTTACCTCTTCTTCTTTAAACTCTATCTCTCTCTTAACCTTCCATTTCGCATTTTTTTCCTACTCCCTTCGTTTGATACCCTCTTTCTCTTTGCTCAACAAGTTCCTGCCATGTGCCTCGGTAACAAAAAGACAAAGGCTGGATCATACCCTAGCGATCCGAGGAAGAGTATCGCCAGGTCTATCGCTGCCCTCTTCCCAGTCGTCACATCGGGATTGCATACTCGGGCCGACATCAGCTTCATATTTAGGTATTCTCAGCATCTGCAACAGTGTTCTGACAAGCTCATCCTTTCACGCATTCCGTCACCAGCCCGATGGGAGCCATCTAAAATCGTCTCGGCCGTGTCTCAACCACTTCCGCTCTGCCATCGTCTGCGGACCATCAGAGGAACTGAGATCGGTGGCAGATTACTCCGTAGACAAACCACCGGGAGCAAAGCATCACCCGCATAGACATATACATTAATCTCACACACAGGTTTGATCAGAGGAGCCCATTTCACATGATTCCGTATCAACGCCAAAACTCTACTCACAACAACTAAATAACGACATAGAAAGGATAGCCGACAACAAATCCACCTGTGGACCCAGATAACAGAAATAGAAAGAGGGTGCTTTTTTGGCAAAACACAAACGACTGAATGAGCCTGAGCCAAGCCAGGACCTCTTTGGATGGCTTGCACCATGAACGAATGCTCCGTTGTTGTAACGACCGGATGATGCCCCCATCTACTTCGCCAGACGCCGCTCCCTCTGCCCGCGCCCCACCCAAGCCACGGACGAACAGCAAAAGAAATAAAAACCGACACCCCGTCCATTACCAAGTGATGTATGAAGCAATCAAGGGGGCAAAACCACATCGAAACGTATCAAACTATGCCATCACCAACTCCGTCTTTGGCGCCAGCCAACTCATCATCAAATCCGTCTCCTACCCTCCTTCTCGCCCTCTGCTGATAAGCCAAGGTCAGCAGGCTTCTCCATCCTGCCTTCGCAACCCTCGCCTCTTTGACCTGTGCTTTGTACAATAATAGTATACACATTCACAACGGCTGAGTCGGCACTGCAAATCGAGCCCGACTCTCACTCCTGCGGCTTAGGCGTCGAAGGCGACTTGGGTTTGGGCAAGCTGAGGATCGGAACGTCGTCTTGCTTAACCGCAGCAGGCTCCTCGCCACCAATCTCCTGCGGCTCGTCCGACAGAACCTGCCCGCCAAACACGGACTGGCTGGTGGCACCCTTGGACTCCTCGCCTGAGGGGCTCGGCCGCGGGAACTGGCCAAAATCTGGCTCGGGACCGCGTCGATCGATGGGCGACCAGCTAGCGGCGATACTGCCGGCCACGATGCCCGCCATAACTGTAGGAGCGCCTAAGGCGCTATTGGACCGCGAGCGCATGCTCCTGCTGCGCCGGCGCGAGTCGGGCGTCGGGGCGACGTTTGAGCCATAGCTGTCCTCGCGTGTTGGCGTCTGCGGCAGGCGGTGGATCGAGTTGGACCGCGAGTGTTCGCGGCTGTGGGCGGGGCTCTTCCTAGGGAGGAACGTCTCGCGCGGATGCTTCATGGCGAACTTGAGGTTATTGAGGCGACCACCCTTGACACGCTTGAGCCAGGCCAGCTCGTCCCTGACCTCGGCAAGCGGCTCGAGGTAGGCATTGAAGCGCTCGTCGTCGTCCGATACGGTGACTCCCGGGACCTTGGAGTCGGACTTCCGCTTGAACGACGCAGGAATCAATTTTGCGATCAGCTCGTCAGGGATGAGTCGGATGATGACGCCGACCGGGACGGAGAGGATGCCAAGAAGAATTGCAATGCCCCACATCGCCGGCGTCTGACCCTGTGGTGAGATTCGGAATGCGGCCCCGCCAACCATGACAATCAAGACTTGGCCTCCACACATGATGGCGCTGATTACGATGAAATACGGGTTTTTGAGCATGCCCTCGAAAATGTTGAAGTTGTTGTCCAAACGGCGGTTGCTGCAGCAGCGTTAGTTAATCGCTCGTGGAACCGACGAAACTCCATCTCCACTTACTTCCACTGGTTGAAGATCTGCATCCAAACGAATGTGTTGAAAACCAAGGTGTGGATCTGGGACTCCGTAATGCCCTCATCAGGTCCGGGAAGGACACTAGCCTTTCCGAAATATATCAGGAACGTGATCAGCAACTGATACACGGCCTGGCCCAAAATCATCTTCCACATAGTGATGGAGATAATGGAGGCCCCCTTGCGCTCAGGCTTGCGCTGCAACACGTTATCCCGCGGAGGGTCCGTCGCGAGAGCCAGCGCGGCGAGCGTATCCATGATGAGGTTGACCCACAGCAGCTGGACTGCAGTCAACACCGCAATTTGTTCATCGCTCTGAACAGCTGACACGAAGGTGAGCACCACCGCGGTGACATTGACAGTGAGCTGGAACTGGAGAAAACGCTTGACCGCATCGTTGACTGCACGACCCCACTTGAGCGCCTTGACAATGGAAGCAAAGTTATCGTCCATGAGGATGATGGCGGATGCCTCTTTGGCAACCTCGGTTCCGGCGATGCCCATGGAGAAGCCAATGTCGGCCATCTTGAGGGCGGGAGCGTCGTTGGTTCCATCTCCCGTGACCGCGACCGTTTCCCCCATGTCCTTGAGACGCTTCACCAGGATACGCTTGTCCTCAGGACTGGACCGTGCCAGAACGTGTAGCCGAGGGATGATCTCTTCTTGCTGGGCCTTGCTCATGTTCCGGAACTCGGGGCCTTCAAGGACCACGCTGTTAGGTTGCAGAATGCCGCAATCGGCAGCGATAGCCTCGGCCGTCATCCTGTTATCTCCAGTAACCATGCGAACAACAACACCAGCTGTCTGGCAATCCCGGACTGCCTCGGGCACGCCCGGGCGCAGGGGGTCCTTGATGCCGACCACACCGACGAAGGTCATATTCCGGCAGATGTCTTCAAAGACGATCTCGTCCTTCTCAGCATCCACCCGACGGGAGGGCTTAGGCGGCCACCGATCAAAATCTCGATAGACGAGACCGATAGTCCGCAGAGAGTTCCGTGCATACGTCTCGATCAGCCTCCTGATGGTTTCGCGGTTATCCTCCGTAAGGGTCGCCGAGACTAGACCGCCCGAAGGGTCGCGCAGGATTTGGGTGCATTTATCCAGCACAATCTCCGAGGCGCCCTTGACATAGAGCCGTGCCTTGCCGTTGTCTAATTGGACGACGATACCCATGCATTTGCGTCCAGAGTCGAACGGGATCAGGTGTAGCGTCTTCACATTGGCTCTCTCTTCGTTGACAGGGCCCATCGCCAAATGCTGGCGGGCCAGGATCAGAAGTGCCGTCTCTGTCTTGGAGCCAATAAATGCTTCTTCGCCGTTGTTGTTGCCCTCGAACGCTGTTGAATTAAGTGCAATCGACTTCAGCACCAAGTCTTTAACTTCAGGATGCAAAGTCGAGACGAGCTCCTGAACTCCGACGTCCTTTTCGGAAGTGTCCTTCTGATCTGGCGTAGTCGTGGTGCCGAACCGATGGCTTGTGCCAACAGTACCCGCCACGACCTGCATCTTGTTCTGCGTAAGGGTGCCCGTCTTGTCGGAGCAGATCGTGGTCGCGTTGCCCATGACCTCGCAGGCCTTGAGGTGCCGGACGAGGTTGTTATCTTTGAGCATGCGCGTGGTAGCGAAAGCGAGCGCCAACGTGACAGCAAGTGGGAGGCCCTCGGGGATAGCCACGACCACAATGGTGACAACGGTGATGAAGATGGTGATGAAGCGATGTCCTTTCTGCGCAGGTGACTCGGATGAAGCAGGTTCTCTGGTGATGGTTACAAGGAATCGGATGAAGAGAACCAGGAAGAGAAGCAGAGCGACGGCACCACCGAGCTTAGCGATGTATTCGGCGATGACGTTGAGCTTCGACTGCAAAGGCGTGATTTCGGGATCCTCGTTGAGAGCCATCATGGTTCTGCCGTAGCTCGAGTAAATACCGGTAGAGGTGACCATGAATTTGCCGGCACCTTCCATGACACGGGATCCGGACTGGATGAACGGGTCCATCTTCTTCAAATTCTCGTGATTCTCGATGGCGGCAAAGACCTCATCGGCGGGTCTCTTGCGGATAATGTCCGACTCACCCGTGGCCTGAGACTCGTCACACTTGACGCTGTACCCCTCAATGAGGATACCGTCGACCGGCACCATGTCGCCCGGTTCCAGGAGGAGGACATCGCCAGCCAAGATATCAAAAACGGAAATCTCCACCGTCTTCCCAGACCGAACAGCCTTCACCAAGCGATCCTGTTTTTTCCTGTTTAACTTGGCAAACTGACGTTCTTTCTGGTAGTCGTTGAGCGACCCGACCAGGACCACGATTGCAATGGCGACGATGATTGCGACACCTTCAACCCATTCAGCTCCGGAAAACGACCCATCCTCATGGTTCTCAGTTGGAGCCAGGGTCTGGTAGATGCCAACGGCGAGGGAGACGACTGCGGCGGCCGACAGCAACATCAAGACCTTGTCGTTGTACGTGATCCACATGAGCTGAAGAAGGGTCTTGCCTTTCTTCTCGGGCAGCCTGTTGTCGCGAAAGACGCGTTTCCGCGAAGAAAAGGGTTCGCTCGCCGGGTCCTCAGCATGGTGCGCATGGCTGTTCGGCGGGGCATGCGCCGCGCCCTCGCTGAGCGCTTTCTTGCCACGAGGGGCGACTTCTTCAAAGGACACAGCGCCGTCAAGAGCGGTCTCATCCACACTCAAGCCCGTCGTTCGGTTGCTACGCAAGCCTTTCTCGATCCCGGCGAGACCTCCGAGACTGTAGAAGGCCGACAGGCTCTTGGGGTCAAACATCTTGTTCAGCATGCCCGGACTGAAGGCGAACGGATTGTCCTCAACCTTGAAATCGTCTTCCTTGCCCTGGTCCGGTTTGAGCGCATCTTCGTCGTCCATGATAAGGTGATTGTCTGATTTATCGCCGAACGGAGGGCTGTTCTTCCCCTCAGAGAATGAGCCGCCGATGACGGTGGTGTCCCCTTGCGAGGAGGTAACGGACCGCGCATCATCCGTCGAGTTCACCGAGTTCTGGCGTGAGCGCTGTGTGTTGGGGACGGCGAGGAAACTCTGGCCGTTGTTCCCGCGGAACGAGAATGGGCTGGAGATATTGTGCGGGCTGGTAGGGCGACTGTCTCTGGCATCCGAAGCTTTCGCGGCTTGCACCTCGGGCCTTGTGATCGAGAGGCTGCGTTTGTGCGAGCTTGATGTTGGGTCCGTCGGGCTTCCTAGGGAGGCGGGAGAGTTGGAAACGGCTGCTGGGCCTCCTTCAGCGAGCGGCTCAGCTGAAGAACTTGGGCTCACGGCCGTGGTATCAATTGTGATGGTCGGTCTTCCCATTGTTAGCTGCGCTGGCAGTAACAAGAATAGTGAGAGCAAACAGGCGTGCGCTATATTCTGAGGGCAGAGAGACAGATACTTACGCTCTAGGGCGGCGAGGAGGCGCCGAGTCGCCATCCTTGGCGTTGTGGTTAGATCCTGACATGGTAGCTGAGGACGCTGCTTGCGGTCGTCAGCGACGCGACTCAGCCCTCGCGGGCGACAACAAGATGGAGTCGACGTGTGGGTGGTATCGCAAGTGGCGAGGCTGGCTGTACCAACGGCAGCTGTCTTTCCGCCTTCTGCCGGTGTTCTGCCTTATCCAGCCACAGTCGAGTTTGGGATGCACGGTCACGGGTGCATTGGGCTGTGTCGTCACAAATGATGGAAACTGGTCGTATGGTTCGGTCAGAGACAAAGGCAAGCGGTCGCCCAATTTGGTAGATTACTCCTCAACACACAGTTGCAAACTGATGTGAGAAGTGAATAGAAATGCGTGCGTAGTCCTGACGCGCGCAGCCCAAAGTGTGGCGGGGATTAAGCGCAGGTTTGGGCAGCAGGGAATGATGTATTTGGGAGCTTGGAGGCGGTGCAACAACAGCGCTTAGACTCCGTCTTCCCTGGTTCATGACTTTCAGAACTGGAAGACTGCGTCCCCAATGAGGTTGGAGAAGGGCAGCCTGGAAGAGAGAAGAAGAGCACTCGTCTTGACAGATCGATGTCGGCGCCTTGGCGTCTGCCAAGTGTCCCACTCCTGAGGCAGTGCAAGCCACAACAGGGGTTGGCATGCTCGGCATGTTACATAGCTTCCGTCTTTAGTTGCAGCGGCCCCTCAATTCATTCCACTTCCCGGCATAAACAGACCGTCCTTTCTCTTTTGTTGATGCCGTGTGTTTCTCCTCCGAGTCCCTTGGAAGCACAAAAGGACCAAGTCTTGGAAACTGCGGTCCACGAGCGAAATTTCATCTTTCTTGCTTGCCAAGTAAGGCGGTCTCTGGTCAGAGAGCCTTGGCAGTACCCGTAGCCGGGCACTCCGTGCTGCGCTCATGGCCCAAGATTTGCAGGTGCCTCGTTCATCCAATCTTAAAATACGGATACGTGATATTGGCTGGGCAAGCATACGGACAGAAATTATACATGTATGTTTCCGTAATGTTGCCCTATCTGATCTTGCTGTGCCGCGTTGCTGCAACGGCCGCCGGAGATCGGTTTGAGCATCTCTCCTTGTATGAGTACCGCACGGACAAAGCTCATTTGTAGGTGAAAAAGTCCGTATCAAAGCAGCGCTTCAAGTTGGCTGTTGGGACTCCAAATTAGTAGGACTCTCTTCATGAACGGTTACTGAACCGCACATTGATGCTTATACAGTGCACTTCCGTACACTAGCAAGCCCTGGGATTAGCTTCAAACTCGTAATGAGGACTGCAGTGGGGACAAGGCGCACTGATCTTATCCGCATCGTCTGCCAGTGTTCATGTCCATGCTCCGTAACCAAGTGTTGTACTTTTCACGCATGCACGACGTCTTCAAGTATCAATATCTATAGTTGAGCTTCGTATTGATTCCCAACTAATGTTGATCCTCTTAAGGGTACAGGATATGTTTCCGGCACAAACTTCCCTTCTTCACACACCTGGGCCAGGTCGGCAAGACTGGCGATCGCAGGATTGCCAAGACTCTTCCGCACGGGCATCCTCATCATGAGCTCCAACCAACTCTGTGGCACCGAAGCATGGCGGTGCTGTGTTATGTATCGCCGGCAAAGATGGTGCTGAGACGAAGGGAGCATGAGATGGAGCAACTCAGGTGCGTGATCGGGGCGTAGCAGTTTCAAACCGTCCGTGTCTTTGCCGCCAACAGTTTCGATCTTTGAGAGACGATCTTGAGGTCAGGAGTCTCCCCTTACTCGGCAAGTCTTGCCATCGGCCAGGACGAACCTTTCTTTACCCACCAACGTACAATATACATCTGGGTAAGTGTACCTCTCTCTGTCAAACAACTCTAAGACTGGTTTGTATGTTTCATGAAACGCTCTCTTTCCATGACGATCATTGTTCCCGAAGTGCCGATTGGCTGGGAATTGACATTCTGGAAGCAGCAAGTCCCAAGCAAGTCCCAACCGTGCGATGAACTCCAATCTCGCAGCGGCACAACATGGTGAACAGGCGAGCAAAAACAAGGTACAGCAAATCAATAGTGTCCTCGAGGAGCAACTTTACGAAGAGTTCTATTCGTCGCTTCGACCCGCCTCATGCATGATGGTGTGGTGCAACCCTCATACGCCAACCGCCGAGTCTTAACGATCCATCGATCAGATTGCAGCACAGCTTTGGTCGTTTTGCGGGTGATATTTACCTGTACGCGGTATGACGTTGGTGCCCTGCAGAGACACATGGCGATGCCCCCTTAAGCATGGACGAGCGGTTGTGGATAAGGTAGTCATGGATGGCACCCAGTGTTATGAGACAGCTCGGCACTAACACAGGATCGGATCAGTTTGAAGATGAATTAATCCCGATGCTATCAATGATGTATCAAGTTTTTCGCCGAGGCTGTCAGCACAATAGGACTCCAGTAACACCGGCTCATGGGCGATCCGGCTGGTCGAAAGGCCAGTGTCAAAGCGCCTCAGTGGCTGATTCGACTGCATTGTCTCATGACCGCCAGAGAGCTTCCGCCCATTCATCGATCCCCTAACCGCATGTCCATAGAGCTCGCGCAGAGTAAGCCTCGTCTCTGCTTTCCAGCAATGACCTCCCGGAGTATCACAGATCAAGCTCCCCTTACAAAGTAAGAGCTTCCAGTACGCATTTAAGGCGCCGGATTTCAGTGGCAGTTCTGAATACGAGCAAGTGTACGGGGTAGTAAAGAAATGTCTGCGGCTCTGCAAGGGAACGAGTGACCGCTCCACAACCCTTGCTGACACCTCACAGATCCTTGGCGCCTGCTTGGGCAACTTCAACCACAAGATAACATGGCTGCATGATTCTGTAAGCATTGACATACCTTACGACAAGAACAGTGGAGAAAGATTTCAGCTATGCTGCGTAACATGTATGTGCTCTGAAGCCTTCCCCCGACTTGAGCATTAGTGCCCGCGGCTAACCACTCTCCCAGGTCCCCACCGCCTAGCACCTCGGCGATCGCCCTGTCCATGAAAGTGGACGATGACGACTCCTGTTAGAGTGAATATCGGCTGCAGATTGGACATCATGTGAGATATCTCGTCATAAAGCCCGGCACTTTCGACAGAAATGCGCTCTCGTTCCCCCTCGGTTTCCTGCCGCCGCTTCCCTACGAGGCAGAGTGGACCGTGGCGCACATCTCACGAGACGCAACGGACGGCAACTTGAGAACCTCCTTTTCGAACCGAGCACTCGCTGGCGTCAATTGCCGGTGGCACAACCTCTTGATCGACTACCTGGGCCTGGAGAAGAGCAAGCAGTTCACAGCAACAGCCTTTGAAGCTACCGTCCCACCCGGCGTTCTTCCTCTTGGCCAGACAACCCGGGCTGCCGTGACCGCCAAGATAGCTCGCTTTGAATGGGAGGTGCCTCGCATAGAGCAGGAAACCAAGGCGTATCAGCTTCTAGAGGGTTCCGTACTAGCGCCACGCTTCCTCGCTCATGTTCACGAGAAAGGGCGTGTAATTGGTTTCCTTCTGGAAAAACTCGAGGGACGCCCTGCTTCCGCGCCGGACCTGAGCGCCTTCCAGGCTGCCGGAGAGAAGCTCCATGGGCTGGGACGTTTGCATGGGGCCATGAACCGATACAACAACGATGTCAAGTTGATTATCGCCTTTGAACGGCTCCAGCAGGATGCAAGTCCCGAGGCTTTAGGAAAGAACTGGAGCATCTCCGCTCTGAACTGGCTGACGAGTCAGAACGTGGCAGGGGGTTCATATTCCGGGACAGCTGCGACTGATGCCAGAGACGCGTGGATCTTGTGTGGTCCCATATGTTGGAATTGCCGCTATTATCTGGATGGCAGCACCACGCTTCCCGCTAGCTTATGGCTGGTTGCTCTCTTCTTCCTCAATGCTATCACGCACCGGTTTCTTGACTCCCCAAACGGCAGGTTATTGTTGTGTAAGAGTCGGTCCAGCCTCACGAATCTGTTGCTCCGAAACAAGCCGAACACTTGACCCAGCAATCACAAGGTACTGTATAATGATCTGGCCTTGATCACCGTCAGCCCTCCAAAGACATGCCGTGACCGTCGCACTCCATTGGTTGTGCGGGCACTTACGGCTGTCATTGAGATAGACGGACAAGCCCCGGATCGGCGGCGACTGGCGGGTACCACTTCCCCTGAACAGGCGCCTTGGTTGGCGGCTGGAATGCATCAAACCAATATCATATTGACAGTCACTCGTTCATGAGACTTGTCTCAAACCACGGTAACGCTGGCAGACAACGTCGCGATGCCACATCCTCTCGCCCGGCAAAAACCAGGGCCAGCGAAACTTCCCAACGCAGCCGGTTTTCCCAATTTCTCATGTTGGTTGGTCTCTTTCCCCGCCAGAGTGAGGCAGTGCAACATGATGCCAATGCGGAGTCCAGTTTCCAAATGCTGGCTCCGACGAATTGGGCCTTGGCACCACCTAACCACCGGTTTACCATTGGATTGGCATGGGTGCGTGTTATGAAATTACTGGTAAAAATTGGCGATGTCGGTATTGCTTGGATTCCGGCCAAGTGTATTGATGCCGATGCCGAGAGTCTAGGCAACTTCTGGGCACCAGCTTCCAAGACTCTCACGATGAGCGTGGCATGAGGCAGAACCAGGTCACAGAGCTCCCTTGGACCATCAAGAACCCTTCATCGACTGGACAATGTACAGACAAACATCCTGGCCCGAGAGACAAGGAATTCAAAGCAAGGGTCGGTGTAACCCTGCTAAGCCCTGATATGGGACTCTCCTCCTCGAACCGCTGCAAATGGTATTACCCCTGATGACAACAGTCTTGGCTGCCTTGGCCGCGATTCAATATTCTGCGGTTTACCTGTTAACATGTAGACAGCCTGTCTTAGTCTCTGGGCTTTGTCCAAGACAAATCCACGGCATCGACACCCGAATCAGGAAGTCCGATCCCATCCTCAAGTCTAAGCCTGTTTACCAAGACAATTCTACCTGATTCATGCCTAGGCCGGGCCGCGCGGTCACCTCTGTGCAACAGCTCCGGTAAGTGGCAGATCGTAGCCCGGGTCATCCGAAGCCCCAACAGTACGCCAGGCCATACACATGTGAAGCAGCCGAGCTGCTAGCCAGACTAGAGAGAAAACCAACAACTCCCTACAAGGTGAACCTCTCACCCCACCGCCTTCCCAAGTCAACCTCCCTCACCAGCACCATTCCATCATCACCACCATCCTCCTTCCCTTCACCCGCCACGCCCTCCCCATCGGAATTCATCGCAAAGGGCACCACCCCAGTCCTGACAACCCCCTCCCAGAATCCACCCACCACCCCCGTCAGCCCCTCCCCAGTCTGCTTGAAGTCCGGAAAGGCATTCACCTCCAACAGCCAGGCAATGCCCTTGGCATCCACGAGGAAGTCCAAGCCGTACACCTCAAACGCGTGGGGCAGCGGCTGGAAGTGGATCGTCATGCCCCTGGCCGCCGCCTCGAACAGCTCGCCCGTGACATCACAGATCTGGCTGAAAATGGACGCTGCTTGGTCTTGGGCAAGGGGCAAGGACCAGAAGCGGTGGACTAGGTCTCGGGCCAGCACGTCAGTGTTTGATGATGATGCTGTATCTTGTGAGGTTTGCAGGCAGGTGTTTGTCAGGTGGGCGTCCAGGTCGATGTCATCCAAATCTGATACCCCGGGCGCCTGGTACGGTTTGGCCGCGAAAAGGGCCAGCATGTCGCGGTAGACGTAGACCTTCAGGCTGCCGACGCAGAGGACGTACACGCGAATGTGGAACTTGTGATTGTTGCGCTCGGGGAGCAGCAGGGGAGGGTGAATGTAGGGCTGCGCGACAAAGTGGCGGAGGTGGGAGGTCATGATGGGCTGGTTGTCGGTCTTGGTGTTGGCTGAGCCATCTTGCGAGTCGTCACCGTCAGCTCGTTCGCTGTTGTCATCGTCCTCCTCTTCCTCGTCGCTCTCCACTTCCCACCCGTCAAAGATCTCCTGTAACTGCTCCATCGTGCTGAACAGCCGGATGCCTTGGCCGCGGTCGCTCATGCTCGGTTTGAGGATCCACCACTCTGTGGCATCCTCCCTCTTTTCCTTCCTGCTCCCGGCGGCAGCATCTGCCACCGGACTGGTCCCGTCGGCCTGCTCCGCCACAATCTCAGTCTCGGCGTCATTTCCGTCACTTCCGTCATTTCCGTCATCTCCAGCGCATCCGGCCGAGGCATTTCTTTCCAAGCTCTCCCGCAGGTCAAATGCTTCGACCAAGGCGTCATCCAAGAACTCGGCGTAGTCCACCTCGAACGCCTCGCTGCGCTTGACGTGGGTTTTGAGCACCGAGCTCGGGTGCTTCGCCACCCAGTTCTCGACAGTTGCCGAGAGGAAGTGCTTCCGAATCAGCGCCTTGCGGATCACGTAGCTGTTGATGAGGCTTGTTCCGGGGTGCGCGGCGGCATAATCAAAGTCGATGCTCTCGTAAGGCATAATCTGGAGGACCTTGGCGTTGACCTCGGGAACGAGCTCCGCCAGGGAGATGTCTGGAGATGACGCGGAGGGCAGCTTGAGGAGGGTATAGCTCTCTGGTGGCAGGAGAGACTTGAGCGCTGACATGATCAGGGGCTGAACATAGTCGTCGGCGTATTCGATCAAGGCATAGACTTGAGGCTTCCCCGTTTCTCGGATCGCGACTGACGTGGCTTCATCTGGCTTTGACGACTTTGGCACAGCTCCAAACGTTGAGCTCCTTGAAGGGCCCCTGAGATGATAAAATAAACGTAAGAATACAGCTCGCTACATGAATCAATACAACAGGGCTGGCAGAGCGGACGGAAGGGTTAGAGGAGCTGTTCCGTCTATTCCTAGATCGCATGCTCTATCCTCTATCTGATGGTTGACGATAACTCGAATGTACCATGACCGCAACACTCCGTCCGTCCTGCGCCGAAACCTGCTTCAAATCGAGAGGGGTAAGGGTAAGGTCCACACTCACAATTGCAACTCCTTGCCGTGCATCTGCATAGCGGCCTGGAAAAAGTTGGCCTTGAGCGGCGTGACACTGCAAAAAACCATCAGTTGAAATCATCACACATCGACAACCGCTGCCAACATACCTGGTATGCCCCTCCTTAACCGCCCACCCATCATTTCCCGGCGGCGCCTCATCCACGCTCTGATACACATCCGTGAACCTCGGCGACCACTTGAAGTGTTTATGCGTATGACACGCCGGCTTGCTCTGGGCATCACCATCACTGCCACCCCCTTCTCCAGCCTCCTCGGCAGCACCCTCCTCCTTCCGAATCCTCTCCTCATCCTCCTCCTCCCCATCCACACTCCCATCCACCTCCGTAAAGCAGCTCCCCAGCCCCCAATAGTTTTGCAACATCCCCGTATACAGCACCTTCCCCTCCTCCAGATTCTCCAACAACGGCACGTTAACACTATACAGGTCCACACTCCCATCCCGCGGCCACTCCCTCACCAGCGCCTCAATCACACTCACACTCCTTCTACTCGCTTTCCCAATGATGACCGTGTCATGGTTCCGACTGAAAAACGCATAGCTCAGCGCGATGGCGCGGTGCCGGCACACGGCGGCCTCAAGCGCCCCGCCGAGCGTGCCGCTGCTGAGGGCGAAGACGGCGGTGGTGTTGCGGCCGTAGTTGGGCCCGCTCACGACCAGGTCGACGGGCCCACGGTCGCGGAAGAAGTGGTATAGGCCGATCTGGACGCACGAGGCGGGCGTGCCGTCGACGAGAATCCATTCCTCTGTCCCCGGCCGGGTGCTGGGGCGGGAGTGAGTTGTCCCGTGGCGCGGTTCGGCGGCGGCGGCCGTGTCTTGGGCTGTGGCGGGTTGGGTGGAGGTATTGAGTGGTGGATGGCGGTCATCGTCGTCATGGCTCAGACCGGCGGCGGGCGCGGACGGGGGAGGCGGGCGGTAGTACAGCGGCTTGACCGTCTGGCCGATCATGTGCGCCTTGCCGATCCACGAGCGTTGTGTGTGCGGCAGGCACACCGAGACGATGTGGCCGTGGGACTGGAGTTCGCGGACGAGCGAGTGCACATAGGGAGATGAGTGCGGGGACGGCGGGCCGTCGTCGTTGACCACGAGAATGTGCATTTTGGCGCGTTTGTTAACTCTGTTAATTCTGGTGTCCCAGATGGAATGGAAGATTCAGATTGGTGAGGGACTGTAAGGCCAAATTATTATGTTGGGCTGCAGGAAAGGAGGGGCAAGACGAGCCAAGGTACGAAACGATAATGGAACGGCAGCAGTTGCCCCTCCATTGACGTTTTGCCTTTGCCGGCTCGGGCGCAAAGAGACGGGTGGGGTTCGGGCCGAAGTGGGGACCGGAGACCGGAGACTGACTGTTGAAGTTGATAGTAGGGGTGTGAACATCACATTAAGAGAGGCAATGAATTGGATCGTTGGGTTGGGATGAGTTGACTTTCCGTGCTGTATTACTATGCTGCAGCCCGACTCTGGATAGCTGCGGCATGTGTCGTGCGAGATACATACAAATGCTGACGACCTTGCCTTCTAACCCTTCCGACCTACCCATTCTCCTTAACTCTAGAGAAGCCACATTTATGATCCTACCCGGGTCGCTGATATGAGATCGCTCGTGTCCAACAAGCCCGTTACCTCCGGCCGTCGATACCAAGCACCCAGGCATGGCCATGGAAAGGAAACCAAAACAAACAGAGCTGAGCAGTGGCCCGTGTCCCAGTACCGCAAAAACCCTGTTCACCACAAAATTCAATGCAGGCCCGGAAGGTCGCCGAAGAAGCAAGTAATCCATGAAATAAATCATCTTGGCTGGGATTCGAAGCTTGCCAAATCGGCTTCGATGCTCTCCACCGTTGATAGACCCACTATGCGGCTTAGGCTCTAGTACGCTTGGGAGCGCCGGCGGGGAGATCGTCGCCCGACCGCTTATGGCTGGTGCTTTGAGCGCCGCCCTTGACCCGGCGCCAGCTGTCAAAGGGACTGCGCTTAGCAGGCTGTTGAGCTTTCGCGGGGTCTCCAGTCTTCTTGCTCCTAAAACGCGTGGTGCGCGCGGTTGTCGGCGGCGAAGCTGGCCCGTGTCGCGGTGCTTCCGGGGTGCCAGGAGCCTCGTCAACCAGATCAATCGGAGTCTCCGGCTTGTCCGCCTCCATTGCAGCCAACACGTGATCCTCAATATCGGTTGCCGCCTCTTCATCTTCGTTCACGTCGTTTGACTCGTCCGAAGTGGCCGTGGGGAATAACAGGCGTGGTTGAACCGAGGAGCGGGTGAAATGCCGTTTCGTGCGCGATTCGACAGCACCCGCTAGGCCACCATCGCCCTCGTCCAGGCCCTCGCGGTTGCTCGGTTCCTCAGTCTCAGCAAACTTGCGGAATTGCTTCTTGCCACGGCTGCAAAATCATGTTAGAGTAATCGACAAAGGGCAAGCAGGGGGGAAAGTCACGTACAAAACGATCAACATGCCATCAGTGCGGCGTACAGCGTCATCAATCGACACCTTGCCTTCGCCCGGGATGGTGACAGTCTGACGCTTGCTCCGGCGCCTCGGGGCCTGGGGGGTTACAGTGTTCTGCGTGACATAGAACGGGTTATCGGCGCTCTGGTCGATTTCCGGAACGCGCTCGTGGGAGTCCGTGTAGATCTGGAACGAGATTTCGGCGGCTTCGTTGCTGTAGAAGCTATCGGGGTTGTCGGTTTGCGCCCGCATTTTGCCTGGGCTTGGCACGACCTTCTCGTCGTCGTTGTGAAAGAGGTTGCGGGCAACCGACTTGACCTTGGCCTTGATCTTTTCGTCGAGCGATTTCTGAGGGGTCTTGGCTGGTGTAATGAGCATTCCTGCGCCAGTTGTCGCGCCCCTTTGGTGAGGAAGTGACTCTGGTTTCGGCGCCGGCGACAGTCCGAGCGCCACTGCAGCGTTTGCAGTTCCTTCAGCGGTCAGAGTGCCTGAAGCTCTGCGCGACGGATCAACAGGAGGCAATCGCTTCTTTTGAGGCGACATGGCGGGCGTAGCCATCGTGGAGACAAAGCGCTTTTCGGTCGACTTTGGGGAACCAAGAGCGGTCCCTTGTTGATGGGAGGGCTGGTGCCGGGAGGAAGGTTGAGGTGAAGGTGTTCTGTTAGTCACCCGTTGCGCAATGCGGGTTGATTTGCGCGGGGTGTAGGGTTCGTAAGAATCCGAGTAGCCGTGAAGCGGGGCTGGAGGCGTTCGGATTCTGGAGGTCGGGCCTGGGGAAGGTGTTGATGGCACAAGCGGTTCCATTGTGCCCGCCATTGTTCAACAGTTGAGATGTCTAAATTGCGATTGCGCGCTTTGCATCGGCCGCGGCACCCGCGATGGTCAGACCAGGAGCGTGACTAGTAAAAAATTCGTGACGAGGTATTCGGAGTTGGCAGCGAGTTGTTGAGTGTTTTGGAGACGAAGGGTGTTTGGGGGCGACTCGAGCTTTGCAACGAAATGGTATCGGGAACTTTGGAAATCAAGAGCAACAATTGCGACAAATAGCGCAGCACAATAGCTAGCACCTAGGGCAACAATAAGATATGCTGGGATCCCTGGTGGTAGAATAGGAGCGGATGATGGCTTGAGAATGTCTGGTGCGAAAAACAGGCTTCTGTCTGGATTCGCAATGGAGTTTGTGGAGGAGAAATGAAGGCGGCGAAGGGGTTGGGAACCGTCTGCCGCCGATTTCAAGGGCACGACCAGCCTCCCATTGGGCCCCAGCCCCCTGGCCAGTCGATTCCCGGTAAATGGCCTGACGCCAAACAGACGCGTCCTGCGTGTTACCCCTGTCGACCCCTCTCCCTCCAATCCGACCGCAAGAACGCATCTGCATCGGGCACAGAAGTCAACAAACCAACGTCATCCGCTCCCAACTCCAGACCCAGCCAACGTCGGTCCCGAGTGCTCCGTACAACGCCTTTGTGGCACTGAAACTGTCTCTATCCATACCCCTCAAAGCATTGACTTGCCATGGCCGGCACCTTTGACAGCTCGGACCATGAAGAATCTTTTACATCACCTTCGAATCCCGCCGGTCGGTCGAAAACCCCTACCAACCCAGATTCGCGATTCGATGTCGAAGAATCCAGGGAAGCAGCGCTGCGCAAGGAGCTGGAAGGGGTTCGGAAGATTAACGAGGTGATCGAAGGCGTCATCGGGACGCTGGAGCGGGCCAAGGGGAACATGGGGGTACGTTAGGAAGGATGACTGACCAGCCCTTTGCATGCGCTGACCTGTTTCCCTAATACCAAGACCGTTTCCAAGACGGTAGACAACGCCTCAACCCTGCTCAACACGTGGACGCGCATCCTATCGCAGACAGAGCACAATCAACGGCTGTTACTCAACCCAGAATGGAAGGGCGCAACGCAGGACCTGCTCGACATGGAGAATGAGGCGCTGCGGAAGCAGCAGGAGGCTGAAAGGCGGGCAGCAGAGGCGGAGCGACGGCGCGAGGAGGCGCGGAAGAAAGCAGAAGAGGACGAGCGGAAGAGGGCGGCTGGGACGGCGTCGTCAACGTCACGGGGAGTTGGCCGAGGCGTTACAAGGGGAAGAGTCAGAGGCCTGACGAGGGGCGGAGCGACGTCGTCGTCCTCATCGTCGGCGCATGGGGCTGACACGACATCGAGCAGTATCTCCAGCTCTAGAAATACATCTGGAATAGGCAGGGGAGGGTTTGGGTATACACGGGGAGCGCGGTCAAGGGGCGTGAGGTGATCCCACGCACGGTGAATGGGATCAAACGGGGTTATGCTATCTCTGCCCCTGGCCAGGGCTCCGAACGCCAACCCTAACCGCCCACCCAAAACTGTACACAAATGCAGCGCGAGAGCGCCCTCTGAAAAGACAAGATACCCAGAGAGAAGCCTACGTCTTCTTCATGAAGAAATCGCTCAGCTTCTTCATCCCAGACGTGTTCACCTTCATCAGCTCCTTGACACCGCGGCTCATGTTTGCCTTCTTAGCCTTCTCCTCGGCCTCTTTTTTCCTCCTCTTCTCGGCGCGCTCATCTTCCTCTTCATCCGCCGCCCTCTTCCGTGAGTAGTCGGTAGTTCTGGCGGTTGCAGCCTCTTGGCGGAGCTTGGTGAGGCGCTCGAGGTACTCGTCCAGGGGCTTAAAGTCGACCAGTTCCGTCGCCTTGGCCAACCTCGTCTTCAGCATCTCTGCTATCGGTGGCGCGATGTAGCTCGAGCAAATGAAGTTGAACGCCACCCTCAGCCGCTGAAGCTTGACCACCTCTGCCGACGCAGTCATAGCGCTCGCAACATCCTCCTCTGTAGCAGCCGACGTAGCCGTCGTGCTGACAACGGACACCTCGGACCCTGAACCAGCGCTCGTCTCCACGGACGAAAAACTTGACTGCGACTCCGCACTCTCCTCCCCTGAGAGAGGCGTAGCACTCCCACTGCTCCGCTCCCCACCAGCCTCATTCCCTCCCCTCGCGACCTTGACCCCAAGCACAGGCGCCTCCAACTCGCGCCTCACAAACCTCTCCTCCATGCTCCCCGGCAGTCTACCCCCATCGCCCATCATCCTCCTCGCCTTCCCCCACACCTCCGCCAGCAGTTTCGCCTCATTCACCCGGTACATGTCTTCGTCGCCGGCCTGCACCGCGTCACACACCGCGGCGAGCCGGGCCTCGATCAGGTTGCGCAACGCGGGGCATGTGGACAGGAGCTCGGCGAGGTGCTTAGACGGGTCCGGGGTGTTGTCGAGGTGGTCTTCGAGGGAGAGGAACATGCGTTTTTGGCCTGTTGTGGCCGCGTTCGTAACGAAGAGGGCCGGCAGGAGGAGGAAGAGCGGATCGTATGGCGTCGCGAGGTAGAGGGCTGGGGATTCGGTTATTTGCGCTGAGAGTTGAGAGGAGGCGATGGACGTGTCATTGTCATTGCCAATAGTTGTGGTGTTGTTAGGGGCAATGAGCCAGCTTCGCGGGGCGGACTTGGGCGGGGAGATGTTGGTGAACTCGAAAAAGCCTGCTTCGGGGCATAAGAGGTAGCGGTTGGGTTTGCTGTATCGTGGATGCTGGAGGGTGACGATGCGCGCGGACGAGGTGGCGGTCTTGGGGAGGATGAAGAGCTTGGGGGGTTTCTTCGACTCGACGGGAAGCGTGTAGATCGAAGTTGAGGCTTTGACGGTTGTTACGCCCTTTTTGTCGTCTTTTTTGGAGGAAGCTGTGCCGGCGGTGCCTTTGGAGCGCGTTTTTGCCATGACTGTATGTGGATGTTTTCTACGTAAGTAACCATATAGTTTAGACAGGACCTCCAAATTCTTTGGCAGTGCATCGGCTCCCTGGATTTCCAAAATCACCCACCGCTCGAGTTGCCAATCTTAGGAGCACCTTATGGTTAAGTTGAATGCAGGGGTCTCCGGACCCCTGTTGGGTGACGCGACCTGAACGCGCTCCTTGCAGATCGCACGCGTTTCAGATCCGAACGCGCCATCGACGCCCCTCCAAGTTTCCGACACCACCAACCTCGCCACCTTATCGAAAGTGAGGCGTTATCGACCACAACCAGCACGCAAGTCGAAGAGCCAGACGACAGGACCATACTGTACATTTTTGCCTCAAAACTGGACGCACCGAAACTTGCCACATGGGCTCCTGCAGCCGCCCGATCATGGTCGTCTTGTCGCGCCTTAATTGGTTGACATAGCGATCCCGGCACCCGGCAGCATCCTTTGCTTTCCGCCGTTCGTTTCACCTGGCGCCGCTAAACAAACCCAGCGCTGCTGTCACTGTCTGCGCTCTTTCTCGGATCCTCATACCGCACCGAGAACGAGTCCTGAACCTTTGATCGACTGCACCGCCATGGCAGCCCAATGGCCACCAAAGTCACCCCACGAGGCACTTCTGAGCACACCTGGCGGACGGGAAAAGCTGCGCCGAATGGTAGATCGCACATCTCCTTCGCTGTCCCCATCACGGCTACGAGCATCGAAGTCGACATCTGTGCTGGCTTCAAGATTTGGCGCAGGCCTCGGCGGGGTGGACGACGCGCTTTTTGAAGGAGGGGACCTGGACGAAGAGGAGGATGAGGAAACATTACAGCTTAAGCTGCAAGCGATTCAAGCTCGGCTGAAGCTCAAAAAGCTGCAGGCAGCGAAGGCGCAGAAGAAGACGACAGCACAGGGGACCGGGACTGAGGATGGCGGGGGAATGAGAGGGCTTCCCTTACAGTCCAAGCTTGCGGCAGTTAGGGACAGGATGGAGAGACAGATGCAGGACATCGTGCAGGTTCCGGCTTCGCCGGTCAAGAAGTCGCAGGCTCCTTCAGAAGTACAAACCTCACCGCGGAGGGTGGTGTTAGGGATCGACAAGGGGCTGAAAGGGGCTGATGTGTCCCTCAAGAGAGCGCCGAGTCAAAGAGCAGGAAACGAGTCGCGGCTGAGTCAACAAAATGGCTACCTACGTCGTGCAAACTCACCATTGAACGGCCAGCCCCAACAAGAAGCCTCCCGGCCATTAACCTTCAACGAGCGGTTGGCGTCCGCCCGCACTGAAGAGGCCGCCCGGCAAGAGAGGAGAGAAAGGGTGCAAAAGTCGAGGAGCACAGCTTTCAGCGTTGGGAGAGACGAAATGGAGGGCTACAAGGCTAAGGCGCTCGATCTTCCCGACCTTCCGTCGAAGCCGCAGGAGTTCTCGAGAGAGCAAGTTCTCTCTTCAATGGGGAAGCCACTGGGAGGCCAGTCATCGCGCAGCAACACTGCCCCAAACGTGCGGTCAGGGACACAGGACGCTGCGTCCAATCACTCTACACCAACGACCACTGGCACTGGTGACTCGGCAGGGGCCATCGAACCATACTCGGGGTTGCATTTGTCAAAGCGAATATTGCCCCACAATGTCCTTGCTCGGGCAGTTTCGGGCAAGAAATCGTACCTCCTGAAAGATCTGCTTCGCTGTGTAAAGGCACCGGACTGGTCACTCCCAGACGACGAGACCGACATTGTCGTCTTCGCCATCGTCGCGAGCAAATCCGACCCGAGGAGCCATCGCCCCGGCCCTGGCAACGAAGGGAAACCTCAACAAGATCGCGGCAAGTACATGGTCATCACCCTCGTTGACCTGACATACGAGGTCGACCTTTTCCTCTTCAACTCGGGCTTCGACCGCTTCTGGAAGCTCACACCAGGGACGGTGGTGGCCATTCTCAATCCGGGCATCCTCCCCCCACCACCCGGTCGCGAGGCAACCAACCGCTTTGGGCTCGTCATCAATTCGGACGAAGACACGATCCTCGAGATTGGCAACGCGCGAGACATCGGCTACTGCAAAAGCATCAAGAAGGACGGCAGCGGCTGCAAGAGCTGGGTCAACGCGCGCCGCACCGAGTACTGCGAGTTTCACACCAACGAAGCCGTGCGCAAGGCCCGCAGCTCCCGCATCGAGCTCAGCTCGACAGCCGGCTTTGGCGGAGGCGATGGCCCGCGCGGGAGGCACAACTCGCGCCAGGTCTACGCCAAGTCGGAAGAAGACCGCAAGAAGGGCCAGTACGACCGCGCAACACAAAGCCACTACTTCGTCAGCAGCGCGCACCGCAACACCAACCCAGATGACGAGCGGGTAACCGGCATCGCCGACCGCAAGGAGCGCGAAGAAGCGCTCAAACGGCGACTCGCCCAAAAGGAAAAAGAGCGCGACATTGCCCGCCGGCTGGGCGAGATGGGCGGCGGCGCCGGAAAGGAATACATGTCGCGTGCAGCCTGCACCACAGCCCCCCCGCCCCTCGGATCAAGCTTCTCCTCCAATGCCACCTCGTCCTTCTCAGCAGTCGCCCCGACGTCGTCAGCCACCACATCTGCCTCGTCCTTCGGCACATCTATCTCCACCCCAGCGGCGGCGACGACGGACCAACCCCGAAAGTGGGACGCCCGCGCCCTGGGCCTGGTAGGCCGCCGCGGGGCAGACCAGCCCAAGATCCACCTTGGCCCGGCCCCGAAGACCGCCGCCAAGCGCAAGCGGCCCGAGTCGTCGGGATCTTGTTCTACGGTCAGCGGGATGGGCAACACGGCAGCAGCTGCTGCTGGTGCACCGGCATCTGCAGGGGGAAACAATAACAATAATAATAACAGAGCACCCCTGGGCTGGGGTTCGACGCTCACGCAGAAATTGGGGAGGATGAAAGAGGGAGAGAGGTTAGATGAGCGGAGGATACGGTTGGATGTCGGGAACCCGCCTGTTCTGAACGGCGTTGGTGGTAGTGGTGATGGAGATGGAGCTGCGGCGAGGAGGGGGGATAAGTCACCCGTGAGGAAAAAGACGCGGTTCGTCACGGCGAAGGGGATACGCGAGGCCGGGAGGGAGAGTCTTGGGGAGCCGCTTTCGGCGGCGGTCAAGACGCGGCGACAGGTCGTGTTGGATGATGATGACGATGATGATTTGATTATTGTACGGTGAAGTGAGGGCTTTGGGCATGTACTACACGGCTCGAGGGTTTAGGCATAGGGAAAGGGGATTCGGGTTTGCCGAGATGGCCGGCTTACACCTATCAATCACAAAAGCACTTTGCTGCTGTTCTGTTTCGTGGTGACCTCCTGAGTCCCAAAATGCGCTGTTTTTGCTATCCCCGCTCGATAAGCTTCTTCTTCCAATACGGGCAGCGGGGATAATGCTGCAATAACCAGTCCTGGACAAAGTCGTCACAATCAGCAAGCGAGTGGACGTCGGCGCCAGCCTGAACCAGCCGCTTGACAAGGTCGAGGTCTCGCCGTTCCGCAGCCAGGTACAGTGCCATCTGCCCGATCTCCGAGCGCATGTTGCTGAGGTTTATCCAGTCGTGCTCAATCATCAGGTCGACAATCCGGGGGCAGACGTTGCGACATGCTTCAAGGAAGAGGGGCTCAAGCATGCTGTGATTTTCCGGGAGGTAGCTGAACACCAGCATCTCGAAACTTCAGCCGAGTCTTGATCGAATGCACAGGATAGATATGGTTTGTATCCTGGGGGACGCCGGCTGGGATCCATCCTCCCGCGGACGACGAGCTCTCGTACGGCGTCTGCTGAACCACTCTCGATGGCACAGTGTAGCGCGTTGCCGTACCAGTTGCATAGGTACGGGTCGGCGCCGCGCTCCATGAGCACCCTTACGATGGGGACGTGGCCGTTGGATGCCGCATAAATGATCGGAGTAGCGCCTTGATTCGTTCGGACATTGATGTCGGAGACACCACGGTCAAGCAGATCCAAAACGGTGTATGCCAGGCCGTGGCGGCAGGCAAAGTGCAGTGGAGTCAAGCTGAGGCACTCCTCGGCGCTCCAGTACTCCTCTCTACGGCCCACGCTGTACTGGCGCACTTGGTTTGCCGTAGTTATGGCGCTTGTCGAGGAGAAGAGGTCGGTCGAGAGACCATGCACCTCGGGGTCTTGCTCCGATGTTTTCGCATACGTGCCCCAGAACTCGGTGGCGTAACCCAGAAACGGGCGGTCCGTGAGATGCTATTCGATCTCGTCCTCTGCCTTCCATGGTCCAGCTCGTAAGTCCTCTAACAAGAGGCACTTGAGGCAGCTGAGGGCAAATCTGGCCATGGCTCGAGGAAACAGCAGGGCCGAGTTTTCGACCGAGTACTCTTGGATGGAGTGATGTGCCACCCGGACATCCTTGGTGGCTGTGTCGATGGTGATAAGACCCTGGCAGCACTGGAGGATCATGCTCTCGGACGGGCGGTACTTCGCATTGTTGCCGAGGTTGTCGCCTGAATGGATCGCGAGGACATCGCTGAGCTCATGGACGGTCAGGGGCCGTACCGCATGAGCGAGGTACATCAGAGACTCCATTCCTATGTTCGGCTTGCTGGCAGGTTTTGAATCCTGGAAATCGTTTCCCGGAATGCTTCAGTCAGGCTGTGGGAGAGGTTGTTGAGGGTGTCGTCCATCTCGCCCAATGTCGGTTCCTGGATCAACGATGTCAGCTGTAAAATTCCAATTGCGGATGTGTCTGGAGGGTTTCAGGAGCAAATGCGCTGTCTCGGGAGCCGTGAGACAGCCATAAAGAGGTATAAACAGTCCATAAACAAAGAAATACCTTCAGGACACTGCGAAGTTGCAGCACAGGGAGCAGAAACCTGGGTTGGTCAGCTACATTGCTAAGGGTGAGAAAGGGTTGGGGGTTACCCACATTCCGTCGGTGCCTGCTGTGAGCTTATGGACCATTCCACCGACGAACCTGTCGTCTGCTACGTCATATAAACCGTTACGTTGCAGTTCTTGGTGGATATATACCCTGATGTCTTCCTCCTGGGCCGATATATTGAGACGAGGGTGGTGCGCAAAGGTGGCGGCGATATCCTGGGTGTGCGGGCGGCTCGTGACCAGCAACCGGAGCCCCTGAAACTGGCTGAGGTGCCGTAAGGTGCGCAAGGCTGAGGATCTATGTTTCAAAGAGCTCTCATCAAGGGCGTCGACAACTAAGTACGCACGCCCTAATTTGACTAGCGCTGCAAAGAGCCTTTCGCAGTCGGACTGGGGAAGTTGTCCTCTCAGGTGGGTGTCGTTGTAAACGCTAGATACGAGACCTGGAATCGTTGGCAGCTGGTCGAGGAACTGCCTGAGGATACAGTAGAACGGTTAACGGAGATTGGGAGGATCGATCTTGACGATCAAAGTAGAAGTAGGCCAAAGGGCTCGCAGTGGCTGACACTGAGTTATGGCTGGAAAGGTCATCGATGATGATGGACCTGCAGAGGGTTAATCTTGGGCTCGCGAAGGAGAGGCACTTGAGACAACTCACGCAAGGTTAGTTTTCCCGGAACTTTGAATGCCGTAACATTACAGCACATTGGACTGGTCCCGCTCTTGCCCATCGCGCCATCTTGTGCACTCGGAGGTGCGCAGGATCCAGTGCCCAGTGTCCTTGGCTCGAGATGCCTGCAGGGCTTGATGTTTCTGGCCGTACTTGACCGTTGATATCCAGTCCAATACTTGGTCTCGAGGGTGTTGGGCGAGCGAGTTCTCCATCATGTGCTTCTGGGTACCTGAACGGTATGTGTAACTGAGCCGTCGTCTCTTGGAGTGATTCGATGGCCCTGAACTGGTCCAGCTGCTGGTCTAGCACCTTGAGAACATCGTCAGATGTTTGCGACAGGAGCCTGCACCCGTCCACGGAAAGGGCCAAATGCATCCGGTGGGAGAAGTTTCGAATTCCTTGAACCGTCTTTTGATGTTCCTTCTCGCTGAGGGGCCAGAGATAGCGGCTCCTCCTGCCATTGTCTTGTTGACCCGACTTCCTGCAGAGGGATTGCAGCGTCGGCTCGCATGCAGAGGAGCACGACAAGAGTACTGAAGTTCGCGAAAACATGATGCTGCCACTGCTGAGAGTGTCGTCTTTGAGGAGTCCCCGTAGATTGTTGATATTGAACTGTAACGCTTTCAGTTCGCTGATGAGGGCTGCGATTGTGTCCTTGGAAGACACTACGGCGCCCCGGCAGTCCTTGGCGCCCTTGATTGCTTTCGCAATCAGGGGCAACAGGCCAGCGATTCCTACGCGAGGGATAACGGGTCCATTGGCAACGAAGTGATGTTTAATCGCGTGGATAATGAATTGTTACCTCATTGCTTCAAGTCGCTGCTTGTCGTGGCCGACTAAACGCGGCGGCAGGCCGGAGGCCACAAAGACATCGCTCCGATGCTGAGCCTCCCCAGGCTCGAGTGGGACATGAGGCTATAGTTAGGTCCATGTCGCTGAAGTTGGATGGAACCGTTGCGGCGGTGGAGCAACGACTGTCGGAGAATTTTCCCGCCTGAGCGATGTTCCCGCTCGATCGGGTCGACCCATGTTGAAACTTAAAATTGAAACCCTTTAGGTCGGCATCTTTTCGGCCTCTGATATTCAACCATAGTCGAACGTCAAACAAGCCAAGGCGTTGGTGGCCCACAACCCCTGCCCACAGGCGCCGGAATACCACAGATGCCGTTACATTGCCGCATCCTACAGCCCGATCGTGTGAACTCGACATGTTGCTGCCTCGAAAGTTCCGACGATAATCCCTAACATGTGATCGCCCAAGCAAGGCTGTCTACATCTACTCCGTAGTCCGTACCGTTTGGCCGAGCTCTATTGAGGTGATGTATAAGTGGACGAATCATGAAGCCCTCTTCATTCCCAAATTAGCTCGACATTCCCTCTACAAGCCCCTTAAGAAAATCCAACCTGCACTTCCTCCTTTGCATTTTCTACCAATCTCGCCCACCATGGCTCGCCAACTCTCTCTGGAGGCGACCGTGACCCTTCTCGCAACTCGGGGAGCTGCCCATGGCTACATCAATACCTTCACCCTAAAAACGGTGTCGACCACGAGCACTTCAGCCACTGGAACCCTTCTCCCGACCCCAACGCTATCTGATAAAGCTTCAGCATCCCGGATGAGGGTCCCGAGCTGGACATTAGCTCTCCCGACTTCATCTGCCGCAGCGACTCGGAGCCTTCCCGCAACTACGGCACGATCGCAGCCGGCGGTACTGCCTCGTTCTTCTGGACCTCTGACGACAAGGTAATCAACCCCAACGGTTGGGCAGAATCGCACCGTGGGCTGGTCCTCACCTACATTGCGCCCTGCAACGGCGATTGCACCAAGTTGACAAGACATCCCTGCGCTGGACCAAGATCGCCGAGTCTAGCCTGGTCTCGGGACCGGCCAACACCAAGGGTATCTGGACGGCCGACGTACTGCCTGAGAACGGAGGCATCGACTCGGCCACCATCCCCAGGCCGATCGCGCCGTGCAAGTACGTGATCCGCAACGAGATCATCACGCTCCACCGGGCGCATATCAACGAGCCCGAGTTCTACATGCAGCGCGGCAACATCGAAGTCACGGGAGATGGCACTGATGACTTGTCTGGCTCGGGGGTTCCGGCGTTTGAGCTATACAGCAGGAGCGATTCCCAGCAATTCAGCTTCTCGGTTTACGACAGCCGTGACACCGAATGGCCGATTCCCGGGCTGGCCCTTTACCAGTCGCAGCAGTCGCAACCGACGCTGTCGCAACAGTCGCAAGGAGGTAAGCCGACTGATGCATCGTGCTGGGGTTGATGAGAGGAAACAGACATTGAAAACAACTGGACTTTGCCTCTCGCCGACGTTATGGTTATGGATTGGGACGAATCTCTTTTCAATAAAACTTCCTGCATTAGTTTGGGCGGACTATGAAGGGGGGTGTGATCGCATCATAGACTTGTGCGGCGGAATTCTTCCTGTGCATCGGATGTAACTTATATAAATAAAGCAAAACTCAATCATGGTCCTAATGCAGCGACCTGATTCGGTGACCTCCGTATCCCACCTGGCCGAAACATCATGGATCCAAGCCAGCCCCGCCAAGGAAAGCCCTATCCCACCAGGTCAGCCGGACCTACTACACAAGCGGCCCGACCTGGACCCACCTCACTTGCGCCGTAATTTGGAAATACCTCCCTGATTACCTGATACCTAGTGCTGACGATTCAGGTGTCCGACCTGTTGGTGCTAGGGCCAGCTTCGGAACGGCTCTGCCCAGCTTCCCTCGACCGTTCGAAGCGGTCGGCGCTAGATCCGCTCTGGAAGATTGGGTGTGGCTGCTGACGGTGTTCGACCTTGTCGGCAAATGGACTTCCGAGACCGCCCGGCCTTTCTCAGCGCGGGAGCTGGGGGTAATAAACGAATTTCCGTCGACGGTGTCCAGGAATATCCCAGCTCAGGGATCTCGAGTGCCTTGCCCTTGTCCCTCTTCCGCCGCTGTCGACGGTGCAGTCCTGATGAAGCCCAGAGCGCCGCCCAACGCCTGAATGTTGCCTCCCTACCTTCCTTTCCGTAGTCGGTCTCCGCGGTAGGTCCGCCTGTGGAGTCCTCTTTCTCAAAGGGATGCCGCAGCTGGCGTCCGAGCAAGTGAAAATGGGCGAGGAGCCCAGTGAGGAGAGGTTTGATCCTCCGACGATCCACAAACATGACTAGGCCGATAGCTACAGCATAGGTCACGACCGAAACGACGACCATTGTTGTGGCATATTGGCTTTTTATGCCCGTCAGCTCTTCTTCATGGAGAAGACCCATGCTGAAGACCGCCTGGTTGAGGACAACGTGATTGGTATGGTCAATACAGTACTGCCGCCGGCCGTGAATTGAAACTCACCGTGACAAAGCCAAGCGGAAGGTAGAATATCGTGAGAACAGTGAAGATGATGATGTAGCGATTCATCGAAGTGGACTTGGATCCCGGGCCATCTGAAAAACCTGTTGACGGGCATAGCCAGCGCATCGCGAATGGGATGTAACAGACAAAAATCCATCACATTCGGCGAGAAGCTTAATCGATGACTCTTATTCCAGCTGCTGAGGAAGGCAGCGAAGAATTCGCAGTGGCGAGCGAAATCGAGGACATCAAAGTCGCTGCCGAGTTCCCAGATGATCTGTCGGGCTCGCATACAGGGAATGTAGGCGGCTGATTTTATATTTAGAACGCTTGCATGCCATGTGACGATCCTACCAAGCTGATTATTATCAGACAACGTTAGCGCCTTATACTCAACAAACCGCGATGCGTTGGGGGTAGGCAGTTAATCAGCCCATACCAGACCTGTCCTATTTGCACATCTTCTGGTCCTCGAGGCCGCGCCATATCTGGATGGCATTCACCGCGATCCATGTCCTAGAGATGACTCTTGGGACCTTCCTCATCCAGTCGGCATACACCAAGCATGGCACTGTGAGCAGAGACTCGTGCAGCGAGGACCCCGCGTAAAACTGGACCTTTCTGATACAATCATGACTCGCTCCAATGAAGAACCAGAAGTCGCCTCGCTCCGGGGCAGACGACACAAGCGACGACAACGTTGAGGAAGCGGGCCTGATGTCGTTTCGTGCAATAAGACGTCGGGGTGTGAGGTCGTTCGATTCGACAGGGTGTCGTGGCCAAGATATCTTGATAAAATTCCGGCAGGCTACATATCCTTCTAATTGTCCCGGTCCTCTCCCCGGACCTCTTGGTGTTGCTGAATCAACCGCCGGATGTAGCGTGATCTCCATGAGCCCGGAAGCTGCAGCCAAAGAGGCCGGTATGACGAGAACAACATCCCGGAATGCGTGGTACACTTCCTTTCTTGGATCTGGTTCGTCATTGCTCGTCAACCATAGCCGCGTTTTGCCGATGAAGATGGGCGGTTCCTTGCACCGACACGGACCGACGGCCTCCTCGAGACATTGACGGATATCTCGCAAGAAGGCGGCTGACGGGAATAAGTCCAGCATCTCAAATGCTCCCTGGCGTGGCGGATCAGTTCTGGCGGATGCGTTACTCTTGTCAGCCTCACTGGTCTCCGTCTTGAAGTTCGCTGAGTGCCTTGACTTCGGCAAGGAGCATGTCCGCAGACGTCATGTGTTGACTAGTTCCGTCTTGGGCGTCTTCCCTGTTCGTACCAGCGGGCCCTCGCGCGGGCGGTCAAGCGCGCTTCTCTCTCGCGTCCCACTAATAGCCTCTGCCTCATCCTGGTTGACTTCATGTTCCTGAGGCGGTTGCTGCTGCAGGGAGTCTTGGGCGGGTTCTCCGCTCTCCCCAACCTCACTGGTCTGTTCCATGTGCTGACCGACTCCGTCGTCTGGCATCTCCGCCTCGTCCTGGTTGACTTCACATTCTTGGGGCAGTTGCTGCTGCGGCATTTCTTGGGCTGGTTCGCCGCTCTTGCCAGCCTGACTGATTTCTTTCCCGTCCTGGGTCTCATGACCGACCCCATCTTGGGGCCGTGTATGCTGCTGAAGGGGCTGTTGTGGGGGGACGGCGTCCAGAAGAGACTGAAGGCGAGGGAGTTGGTCACTAAGGTTCTTGAAGTGTCTGAATTGGCCAAGGTTTTCGTTCAGCGTCTTGAGTTCGGCCACGAGCTCCTTCAGCAGCATTGCTTCCCGGTAATCAGTGGACTCCTTTTGTCTTCGGTCTTCAGTATTTATCGCTGGGGTTTTTTTGGATGTGCGGTTCTCTGTCTCTTCAAGTCACATCAATACAAGGACTGGGGGAAGTTCCGAGATTGCGCAGTGACTCAGTATTGTCCGAAACAAAAGTTCCTCAAGGGACTGTCGGCTTGCCTGCCAGCAATGGCTCATGGGCCTGGATGGACGAACATCGTGAGATGCGTGAATTTGAAAGCGGGAAAGCAAAGTTCCTCTCCAACTGCGAGATAATGGTGCGCTATCATCTCAGCTGCTGCCGGGTAAGATTTTATGAATATGCTTCGAGATTCTATTGGTTACAGGTGCGTCTTCCTGCAGCTTATGGTGCTCGCTGGTGTTTCAGGCCCACCCGGGCCACGAGCGAGAGCCTGGAGGTCAGGAACGGAGTTGGATTGGAACGGTCATCAGGCAACCGTAAGATAGGTACGGCCGAGGAGAATGCAAGTACGTGAGTCTGGCCGCGCGAGTGGAAGGGACCGTTCATACAAATCTTGGTCGTGTTTCGAAGAGACAGCTTTACACGATGTGCTCCAAGATGACTTCCAAGTTGTGTCACGGTTTCTGAGGCCTGACTTGGCTGAATTCCTTTCATTGAGATCATTGTTGGAGCCCACATGGGGCGTCTCAGCCCTTCTCTGACGTCGATCGGTAGAAATAATTCTCTGCGAAGATCCATTCATGCCCTTCCTGTTACTGGGTACCATGGGGACTTACTTGTAAATGTACCATTTGATGGATAGCCTGAGCTCTGCTGAATGAGGTCTGGAAAACAGGTTGCATACACCTAACCGACAGTCCTGGACTGGTTCCCTCACTGCCCTGTGCCACAATGTGTATCTTTGAAGGTGGGAACACTAGATGAACTGACTCTATATCGCATTCTGTGTGCAGCTCCAAAGAAGCCGGTATTCCGGACTCAGGGGCAGTGGCTGGCCCATGACGCATCTCGCCCTGGACAAAAAAAGCTTTAACACTTTAAAGACCCAACCAAATATTATCCTGAGCGGCACTAACGTTAGCGAAACACTCAAATCTGACGCAACTCATTGTGTTTCAATTGCCGGTAAGTCCTCCTTCTACTGCCAAGGCCAGCGACCAAGAGAGACTGCGCAGGCGGTTCCAGCGTTCACCGTCTCTGGAGTACCCGGCAAGCATAAGCCGGGCTCATGCCGGCCATCAGTTCCAATGCCACCGACGTAGGGCTTCGGAATGCTCGACCGTCTCCTCGCGCGCGCCGTCTCCCCAATGCGTCAGTTTCAATACCTTCGATCCTCCCGATTTCAGCCTTCCTTCCACAGAGGGTCTTGAAAGTGTGGCCTTAATGTTTGATGCGATCGCCCGGGACAGCGATAGAAGCCTCGACACGCCCCTCACGGCCAATGAGGACAAGATCCGGCAAGCCGCCCGGTATCAGGATGGCCTTGCAGGCGGGCCGCAGATGCCATTGAAGGCTGCGACGCTGCGAAAGGCGGGCAGAGGTCGTGCGAGCAGTAGGTCCACGAGGAGCCCGTGAAGCCACGATGAGAGTAAATACAGACAGTCTGCAACCACCCGTACCACGAGGTCGCCGGCGTCCAATGACGAGGATATCACGATCCTAGTGAAGGGCAGCACGCGTGAGGCACGCAAGCAGCACGAGAGCGGCACGAGGAGAAGGAGCGGAGCAAAAGTGAGCCTTTCAGGAGATAACACGCCTACACAAGCGCTTCGACACACTCCAGACGAAATTCATGCCAAGAGCAGCAGCACATCGGTTCAGAGCCAGCACAGGCTACTTCTTGGACTGGTGCGCGTCTGCCCAACTCAACATCGGCACACGGCACCTCCCTGCCCTCGTTCACTATTCCAGAGCCCACGAGACATCCAAATCTGCCTTCTTGGACAGCTTCAAGACTTTGTTTCAGGTCGTTCTCAATCCAGCGGGGCTCGATTCTGCAGTCCTGGACGTTCAGGCCAACTACAAATACATCAGCCATCGGCGGCGCTTTACCCCTTTTAGCGGATACTGCACCTTGTTGCGCGACACAGCAGCGAAACCAGTCATCGTGTACGACGCCGCCAAGCGCCGCGGCTGGTTGATGCCCATGCTGAGTGTACTCTCACACGTGGCACATGCCTATGTTCTTGATTCCGTCGATGGCCCTACAAATGATGATGCACTTTACGTTGACGGACACGCAGCCGCGACGGAACTGATTACCGTTCTCGAACCTCTAGGCGAACAGCCTGTTCTCAGCCATACCAACGGAATAACCTCCGCAGCAGCAGACCATGTCCTATTCTTCCGTCAGCTACTCCTCAGCCTGTTGAACTCGGGGACGTTGCAACGGCGCCGGACCGTGGCGCTTGTATGAAGACCGTGGAGCTTTCCCCTGCAAGCCATGCGTGGTTCCCAGTCGCAACGCCGCTGACACGGTCATCATCTGCGCCAGCATTGGCAAACTGATCACGCCATCCGCCTCGGCCACACCGCGCTACTGCAGACAATGCGACGTGCTCCCGGAAGACTCGGATTACTTGGCCGCCACGGTGCCGTGCCTTGACCGGATCGCGCACCGGAGAGGATCCGAGTTGCCGCTTGCACCGATCGTCGATAACAACTCGTCCACCAACCACGTGGTTATACGCCCGGGAGAAAAATGGAACCATATCCGGATATCTGACGACAGCTTCTGGGAGCTGCGGGGCGACCCTTTCGCCGTTTGCCGACACGCCGGAGCGGGGGGAAAGACGTGCCGGGAGCGTGAGGACTTGATAGTGTGTGTCATGTCCCGCAGCGCTTTTGACACGGTCGTTCGCGAGATGAAAGTACTCGACAAGGTCAAGGAAAAGGGGCCGGTAGTGGCGCTGACGTGTCTGGAGCAGTCGATCCCGCCGTTCGGGGCACCGGTGTTCGGGCGGTAGTCCTCAGCCCGTTCCGAGTTATGCAGCGAAATTAAGTTCACAAGTGGGCCGGGCGCGCACATCCGAATATCACGAAGAGGCAAGAATCCTGAAGCCTCTGACAGAGTTCAAGGGAGGCAAGGGGGAGAGGTCATTGAATGGAAGGACGGGGAAAACCGTGATATCCGGCATTTTTCGAGAGAGAAAAGACAGTAAGACTGGAGCCTGGATGCGTGTGGTCAAGGGATGACGGAGGATGAACATCGACCGTGGACGTGCTTTTGACTATGTTGATTCTGAATCTGTGCCGTCAACGATACGGTCTAGCCCTAGTTGGTTTCAACCCGCTGGGATTGCCACGGTATAGGCTGCTCCTCTTTCTATCTCTGCGTTCGCATGACCGAGTATGCCAAAACCAGTGGCAAGCGGATTATCCAGCTTCTTATCATGGAATCTCAAAGAAAGCCGTAGCCAAGAGGACAGCGAGAACTCAGGTGAACGTCGTAGGATTTCGTTTCGAATCTGTCGACTTAAATGCAGACCAGACGGGGTCAAAGCGAGTGTAGGGTACATCGGGCGCAGGTGGTTTGATCTGGAGGATTGGGTAGCCGGGTGATGCTTCCTATTCAGGTACTGGCGATAGTAAAGGATACCTTAACTGATCAAACGTCGACGGTTTATGTAATCACTGTACTGGAGCTGGCTCAAAACGTTCATTCGAGAAATATTGAGATGCTCAGGTCAGTCGAGCAAGCACCGGCTCGTCGACCTTCGGCAAGGGAGAGATTACTACTAAGAAACAGGTATACAAGGCATGAATCATTGCCTGGTTGCATGCCTGGCTAATACAACTTAAAACTCGCGCACAAGCACCCACTAATGTCATCCATATCGCCAAGGCTCCTCCCAGCGAGGGCGGTATCATCATAGGCCAAATCACTACTGCCCAGGGATAGCCTTTTCGAGCCTCTCTTGTGTTTGATTGCTAGCTACGCCTGCCCTACAGGTACTGTACTTCTGATGTGCCGTAAAGGTTAAGGCAAACTCCGCCCCTGCCTCGTGGCCTGTCCCACCTCTGACTGCGTCGCGTCCTCCGCATATCGCTTGTACGCCTCAATATACTTGTCTTCCTCACTCCACGTCGCTTTGACGCTCTCCCTTTCCACTACCGCATCAAACCAACGGTCCCACCTCGCCCACACCTCCTCATCCTCGCCCCGCTCACCCTTTTTCGGGATGCCCACTCCCCCAAGTTTATAATATTCAATCAAAAACAACCTCTTCGCCCATGGCGCAAGCATGACATCCACGAGACTGAACCTCTCCCCCAGGAACCACGGGCCGTCCTGGCCACTCCGGGAATCCAGCATCTCCTTGGCGAAATCCTTTAACCCCTTTAAAAATCCCTCCCTCGCCTCTTCGATCGAGTACCCCTTATCCGGCGTGTGCTGCAAAAGCCGATAGAAACCCGGCACGACCCTCGTCACGACGTGATTCACCCACAACCTGCACCTCGCGCGCTGATACACCTCCTCCTCCCCGTCCCCGGCGGGCAACAGCCGCGAGCCATACCTGGCCTCATCAGCGTACGCCTCGTCGAGATACTCGCAAATGACGGTGCTCTCGTACAGCGCCCTCTGCTTTCTATTCCCGCCGGCGGTGCCCGCGGAGGGTGAGTCGATAGATAGGGTGGGGACCAGTCCACGGGGATTCAAGTCGAGAAAGTGTTTCTCCTTTTTGTAAGGGTTTATCTCAATGTACTGGTGGGGAATATTCTTCTCGACGAGCACGATCCAGGCGCGCTGGACAAACGGGCAGAACCAGCCGCCGTAGAGCTTGAGCGGGTGGTCCCTGGAGTGTGATTCGGCCAATCGGGCAGCGGCGCCGGTGGGGGTCGGGAGGAGGGAGGTGTCGATTTGAGCCATGTTGGTTGCTGCTGCTGCTCTTGTGTTTGAGCACTTAGGTGCCGTCAAATTGGTTGTTGATGTGAGGTGATGTTGTGAGGGGTCGGTCAAATGTTCATGCCGACGTGACGCAGACCACTTTCGATGGCCCCACACATCCCGTCCCTTCACAGAGAGTGCGGAGGGACACGAGGTTATACCAACATGCCCATGCAAACCCACTTGTACTTCCAGCAATCCAAGGCATATGTGGCTAGTACCAATACGCTACGATTATATGTACATCTAGGCTCGCTGTCTCCAAGGCCAAGGCAATCCGTTACGGAAGTATGGTACACCTCATCACGTTGGACCCTGTGGCCAGGCATTCTCAAGCGCACCTGTTACCCCTCACCCGTACCAACGCACGCTAGTATTCGTGGTGTCCGTCGTCATGGTATCCCTCCCATGGTAAGCCGGCTTTGGGGGCTCAGGCACTCGTCCGCCGTGCATCAATCTCGGCATCGCCGCCGTGGACGGCGTCTCCGGCGTAGGCGGCATCTCGGGCCCATTCGGCTGCGTTGGCGTCTTGACTTCATGCAACCAGTCCATGACCGGCTCTTTGGGTGATCCTGGTGTTTGAGGGCGCTGCAGCGCCGCATAGGCTTTCTCGTCCATAAAGACGGCGGCCTCCTCGTGTTGCTGCTGCGAAAGCTGAGGAGTTGGTTTGGGCACGGCGGGAGCATACGCGCCTTCCATGTCGTTACTTCCTTTGTCGGTTGCGTAGGCAGCTCTCATGAGGTCGTCCATGATTTGTGTGTTGGTCTTGGCCTGATTCTTACCGCCCACTTCGCCGGGAAGGGGCCCAGTGACGGAGGGAGCGTGGGAAGAGGGAGCGTGGGACTCGTCGTCATCGTTCAGGCGGAATCGGGTTTGGGGGAAGAATGGGAAACCGCCGTCACGGCGACGCTTACGCCAGATGATGGCGGCACCGACGAGAAGGCCGGCGAAGGCTGCCTACATGTTAGCGGAAGGCTTGACAAGGGCAGCTGACCAGGAGACATACCCAGAGCCCCGAGCACTATTCCCGCCAGTGCAGCTGAGCTTAGTTTGCTCTGCATCTCGGTGCCAACGCTGACGGAGTCACTGGCTTGCTCGTTGGCTTCGCGGCCAGGATCAAGCACGCCTTCTTCAAACTGCGCGCCCCCAGCCACTGGGACGGTGGGCGAAGGCGTTGCGGTCCCAGCCAAGGAGCTTACAAGGTTATCGAGACTGGTGGTGGTGGCCGTTGCAGACACCGATGTTATCGAAGGAGCCGCCGAACTCTGTGTGATGGTAGATGATGGTGGAGGTGGCCTCCCTTTGTTTGGATGACCGTCCGGTCGATGGCCAGGCTCATCTTCATTGGACTCAACGCCGTCAGACTCGGACTCGAATCCCGAATCATCCACCTCACCGGGTTCAGCCGCCCCCAGTGTCACGCCTGTAGCCACGTCTGCGCCTGCGGTGGCGGTGGGCTTAGGCAGGGGAATGACCCCCTTTCCTGTCCCAAGTCGGACAGGCATGGAAGCCAGAAGGGGACGGACGGTCGTGGTGGGTTCAGTGCCGGATTCATCATCAGATGTGTCGACGGAATCAACGGACTCATCGCCAGAGCTATCGGCGTCGTTTGCGGCATCGCCGTCGTCGTCGTCTTCTTGGCGCCGAGTGAGGCGTGTAGCCCGCCTCCTAAGGCCTCTCATCTGGAGCCAAGCATGGTTGCGGCGGCGAGCTGTTGGACCCGACAGTCCCATGATGTAGTCTTAGGTAAATGTTGTTTTCTTATCTCGCCCCTCGATGTCTCAACCTCGTGGGAAAAGAGGCTCTTGTATATCACGAACGCAACCTTGGCCCGTTCGTTCTTGTTTGATCAACAAACGCAGTTACGCAGTTACAATAGAAGCGAGAAAACCAAGAGACAAGCGCCGCGCCAAACGCCGAGACTGCAGGCCAGCTGCCCTTCCCTAACCGAGTAACCGTGAAATGGGGGAAGAAACAAGAGAGACAAGAGATCAAACAAAGCGGCACCAAGGAGAGAAATAATAAGTCATGGGCTGTCGGCCGCCGGCGTCTCTTCGGGGCGGTGCAACGCCAGAGCAAGATCTGTCAACCTCAACGCCGATTTCCCCTGGGTCCCTTGCATCTGCAAGCACCGCCACCATCCATGGCAGGGCAGGCATTCCGTGTCGAAGAGTAGCCGGCTGCAGCTCTGCTCAGGGCACAAAGGCCAATGGCGTTCCCGACCGGATTTACGGTGCAGGATCTGTCCCAGACTGGCAGACACAGCTGTGTCAAATAGGGTCGAAGGTGAGACGCATGCTCGCTGCCAAGACAAAGCGTCGTCGCTTGTCCATGACCGCAGACAGGGGATCGATCTCCCGAACCTGCAATGGAAGTGAAGCGTGTCGATCAGACTGGGATCGGTGCCAGATGTGGGGAAGGGGAAAAAACCGAAACTACGGATTCGTAATTGTACACTACAGCAGCCCTGTGGGGTTTTCGGGGCTGTCTTCTCTGATTAGCCGGCTGCGCTGCCCCTTCCGCGCGGCGCCTTCCGGTTGCAAACGTCAATGGGTCGGCATTGGATAAGCACGCGGCCACTTGCTCAAAGAAATTGTTGACGGGAAACATTCACCGCAGCGTGATACCCCACGACTTCTTGTATAGTCCATCATTTTCTCTATAGATAACCAGATGGAGTACGACAATCATCTTCATAATTAGTAACTCATTTCTCAAGACTGGCGTGGCGAAGGCTAGCCTCAACGGCCTCCCTAACGCTTGCGACAGAGACTCGGCGTGGACGTGCAAGTCGTGTCGACCACATCTCGCCGGCAAGGCTGGCCGAACCGATGGAACGCTCCAGCTGCCTTTCAAACACTCAACCCCACCAGTCTACCCAAGATACGTTAAACACGCCTGGTAACGAACAGCCCTGGAGGCTTGAAGCCGGCGTCTCAGTTGGCGCCGACACGGGTGGCAGACACTCTCACTCCGTGGCCCTGACCCGCAAGCCAACGGTGCGCGCCTTGGCATCCATCGTTGAGCACCTTCTTACCAGGGGTGGTCGAAACGGCTCTAGGCTGTCAATCTCGCCATTGCCGAGTTTCTTCCTGCGACCACGTAAAGGCCGTCGTAGGATCGCTGATCAACCCAGTTGACAAGCGAGCCCCACAGTGAGCGAAAGACTTGAGTCTACCGCCAGCGAGTTCGGACGATCGTTGAACATATGGATGAGCAAAACATGGTCAGCAGCAGATCCTACCAACAGCTGATGCAATCTGCAAAGCTTCCTTTCTCATCCAAGACAGCTGAGATCCCGCACTGGGGACCCGGATGGTGAGGAACAGTGTGGTTCTGACCAGTGTCAGACGGGTAGAGTCGTTGGGCAGAGTGTGCAGCTGATCCAGGTTGGAATTTTCCCACTCCCCAGCACAACATCGTCATCCCAGGCTGCGCGTCCCAGCAGGCACTATAGCCCTCCGTCAACCAGTACAGGTCTTGTTGTCAAGCTTTGAGGACCAACCCATCAGGGATGCAAACGGGCCGAACTTTCGCTAGGCCACCCTATCCCTCGACGAAACGCTGGCTTGAGATTAACTGTCAACGCCGAGGTTGTGCAGTTACTGTCAAGGTTCGGCACCAGAAGCGAGCACACAGCATATTTCACAAGTCATCGTTCATAGGTGGCATCTGGCGTTTCTGTCTTGGCTGTGTTTAGGACGAGGAACAAAAGCCTTCTTTTTCCATCATGGTGTTGCCAGCGATCTTATCTTGCTCGTTTTACCCACCCCTAAAAGGCTTCCTTGATCCACTTGTTGATACTTGGCCGTACGCAACAGACTCGTATCTTACCACCCATTTTCTTCCTTTGGTTCACTCAAGTGGGCCGATCTCGGCAAATACCCTGCAACTATACAGCAACTCCCTCGTCGTCGTCGCCCAGTCCTCTCAGTCCTCGACCTGCGGCCACCGAACGGGACTGGACAGGTCGTCAGGCCCATAGCACAACAACAACAAAGGCAGCCGCCACTAGTCATACCACCCCGGATCGAGGGAGGGCAAGGAGATCGAGGTGCAGTAGCAGGGCGAGTTTGGTCAACCTATCGAACTACGTTGCAGCAGCATCAGCAGCGATACTGTTTTTCCTTCTGGTGTCAGCCCTGGTCGTCAGCAGGTTAAGCCTGTTTCTCATAAACTGAGCGCTGCAAGCCTCGGCGTCTTCGATGTCCTGATCCGAGAACCAGGGGCCGTCAGCTGAGAGTTGAACGAAGACACAAACCCTGCGGCCACTGCAGCGTACTGGTCGACTCGAGCCGGTATTTACATTGTTGGGCTAAGCGGAGGCGCTGCGGTTGTTCAGGGCTTGACACTGCAGTGTATCTATTGGGTACACTGAACACGATACTTGATAGTGCGAAGGTGGTTACGCTGCTGCGCCGCGGAGCCCGTCAAGAGACCGAATCAAGGCCTTGTATCGCCAGTTGGTTACCATCCTGGAGTTTGGTCAGCTCGTTTGTACGGTGTTTGGGATGATTCCTGTTCCCGCTTCTACGCGTCTGAATGTTGCGTAACGTTCGAGAAGAAAGAGGGGGAAATGTAAAAAGAGGAGCAAAAGCAACAGTCCCCTCGACCGGAATCGAGCCGGTGACCTTTCGGTATCAATAATTCCTTTACAGCCGAACGTGATAGCCAACTACACCACAAGGGGATTTGTTTTGTGAATCAACAAATTTGGGGCTTGCACATATGGTGGAGTCAGCTGTGGGTGGTAGAGCGGGTGGGGATAGGGCAGACTTAAGACAGCCCGATGGCCGACACAGAGGGTGGAAATCTGTCTGCAACGGACAATGTTTAGGCAGAAAAAAGCTAGACACATCATGGACATTGACGTGATGGTAGGAACAAAAGTAAACTTGTGTTGATCGGGGCCACCCGGGGATCGAACCCGGGACCTCTCGCAATATTGCTTTGGGTTAGAGCCCTAAGCGAGAATCATACCACTAGACCAGCGGCCCTTTTCAATTGTGAGGAACAGGCAAATGACAAAAAATACGTGTATACAAGCTTGCGTAAAAAGAGGTAAAGAATATCAGTAATGTACTGATGTATCTATACTACCTATCAGCCTAGCTAGCAATAATATCGCCTATATGATGAAGAATATAAATACTGATTCTAATAATAATGCTAAATATTATAAAAGGCTAACGTATATTCTCAGAGATTCCCTCATATTACTAAGTTACCCACTTTTTTATAATGCGAAACCTTTAATATCACGGCGATTGCGCCGTGCCTGCTAGGACCTGTTGGGCAGCCAACAGTTACATGCTCAAGTAAGCTTAGATCAACCAAATGGTATTGAACAGATTGAGGTATGAAAATGAGGCTTGAATTGGAGTCACGATTCCAGAGTGACCACACAAATGAAGGATCAAGATAGTGGGTTAGGGTGTCTCAGAATGTCCCTTTTTTGTTGGAACAGAAAATTGTCCTCTCTAATCCTCCCAGGGGAATTACCCCCCTTATATAGAGACAGTGTGCTATGATATGGCGTTTATGTCAGGAACTGCGTCATTGTGATGGATCTGTGTTGACTGAGAGTCTCGTATTGAACGTCAGTGCTCAGTCCGTGAATCTTGGTGCCAAGGAACCCACTCAGTTCAACAGGACCCACGGGTGGAACCCGGCATGTGGAAAGCACGGGCCCATGTGGGCTAAATATTCTGCACCTCGCTGCCGCGAGATCTGTTCGTAGCTCGAGGAGCCTACGTCTTGACAATCAAGCCTGCCCGTACCTGACGAAATAGAGCTTAGACTGTAGTTTAGCCCGAATACAATTGTCATTGGATTGTCCGCCTGTCCCGCCGTGACATTTAACTTATGCTTAACAAAAACTTTACCATTCAAATTGCCCTCTACTTTAAAAGAAGGCTAGAAAATCTTGGCTCCCTAAGCTCTTCAAAACGATGTGAATTGCCACGGGCAATGCCTATGCCAGGGTCAGGTTTGCATCCCATGTAGCTCAGTGTTGGAAGACCAACAGCCACGATTCCACGGTGATCACACAGATGATGGGAGCTTACAACAGTGGGTTTGAGATACTCGGAGCATCCCAGATGTTCTTAATTGAAGGTTGTTTCTTCTCTCACGTCTCCAGCGAAGGGGGAATCGCCCTAACCTCGTTGCCCAGCGCCCTGGTTACCCCTCACGTTGCCTGACGCTCAGTTGGGCAGCCATGCATCCAACAGCAGGGCACTTGCAGCTGAGCGTCCGAGTTTCCAGTGCCACGGCTTTCCAACAAGAACATCATGATGTCGGTGCAGGTAATTCGTGAGAAGACAAAAAGAATATAGTGGCACAAGTCAAGTCATGCTACCTGATCAATCATGATGCATCCGGCCGGCATTATGAACGGAGGCCATCTAGTTCGTCCGATTTCTGCCGCCTTGGGTCGTTCCCAGACTTTGTCCGGCGCTACCACTTGTCTTCTGGAGCCCGGCTCCTTTCGAGGGCTCGGGCATCGGAGCTGTCTTGTCTGCGCGACTGACACGGGTGGACTGGAAGGGGGTATTAGCCGGCGTGCATTGCCCTCTGGTGCTCATGAAGAATTGGTCATTCCGGTACCTGTTCTTGGCCGGCGCCATGAATAATATCGTGACCTGTCTCGGCAGCGCGGGCTTCTGCTCGTTCCGGCTTGGTAGACATGGCGACTGTCCTGTGAGCTTTGATATAGAGGGTTCAGACTCTCTAAGATGACGGTCTGTGATTGTCAAACGTTTTCGACGAGATGGTTGACTACGCTGGTTGTTTGTTGATGCCTCTTCTCCACGAGGAGAGCGCTGTTATAAGCCCATCACATATTCAGCTGACGTCATGCGACTCATTGCCGTTCCGCTCGTGAAACGTCATAACGGGTATGGGATCAACGACGGGCTAGTTGGTGATGGAATCGAGGGCCAGCGCCAAGCCGGTAAGTTTCCCGGACCCACCGACCAACGTCACGGGGATTCGGGAAGGGTGACAGGAGCCCCACGGCAACAACCACCCCAATATCAGCGGGCCGATCAGGAACAGCTATCAATAACTTCAGTTCGCCAAGGGTGGGTTTCTCAGGATGCGAGGTTTATTTCTCACCATCCTGATCATGCCTATTGTACTCTCGGCCATCTACCAAAGTAGGACAGCGCTCTCCCGCGCCTGGACATCGACATCCACAACATTGACCTTGCTGGCACCGCGACTCTCCTGGACCTCATCACTCAAAATGTCTACCTTCAACCACCCCGACTACCACATTCCCATCTCCCTCCCCACTGGGCTCTCCCAGTCTCAACTTCTCAACTTCACCCCCTTCACCGTAAGTTACACAGCTCAGTTGACTGACCCATCCATTCTCTTCAAGTTTCTACACTAACTGCTCCGTTACACAGTCGTGGCTCTCAACCTTGCAGACCTCCCTCAGCAACCAACACAGCCACCCCTCCCATCCTTTCCACACAGACCCCTACGCGCTTCACTCGATAACAATTCAGTCTTTCGACCTCTTCGGCCGCCCACCGCATTCCAGACTCGGCTTCCTCAAACTCACCTCGCACATCTCCAATTCCGCAGGCGAGACCCTTCCCGGCGCCGTCTGTACGTCGAATTTATGCTCTTTTTACCCCTTTGAACATGTCTCGGGAGTCACATAGTAGTCGACTTGTTTCCCAAAGCAGCACTGTTGCTCCCGAAATACTCCCGAGTCACGCTTAATACAGCCAAGCGATGACTGATACGGTTGGACAGTTCTGCGCGGCCCGTCGGTCGCGATGCTCGTTACGCTCATACCCGACGACATCCCTTCTCGCCCACAAGGAAGTTCAAAAGCAGATGGGCAGACGGACGAGGACGAGGAACGATACGTCCTGCTGACGGTGCAGCCGCGCATCGCGGCGGGCAGTCTGGCGTTTGTGGAACTGCCTGCGGGGATGGTGGACGAGGGCGGGACATTTGCGGGGCAGGCGGCGCGGGAGATTGAGGAGGAGCTGGGGATCGTGATCCCGGAGCGCGACCTGGTTTGCTTGAGCGATTTGGTCGAGCCGGTTGACGGTGGGGAGGGAGTGGAAGGAAGACAGCAAGCGGGGGAACTTCCCAGGGCGGTGTATCCGAGTGCCGGGGGGTGTGACGAGTATATCCCGATCTATATGCATGAAAGAAGGGTTCCGCGGGCGCAACTTGGGAAGTGGACCGGGAAGTTGACGGGCCTGAGGGAGCATGGGGAGAAGATTACGTTGAAGTTGGTGAGGATGAGGGATCTGTGGAAGGAGGGCGCGAGAGACGCCAAGTGTCTTGCTGCCGTGGCACTGTGGGAAAGACTGAGAAGGGAAGGCAAGATCTAGTAGACTGTGGTCTATGGTATGTTCTATCTCCCCGCGTTGTTTGCTCTAACTCAAGGCGAATGCATCGCTGCGGGACGTCTGACAGTTCAGAGCTTGAATTTCTTGGCGATCTCAATCCCCTCGGCGAGGTTGGCTATCCGCGCGTCGATGGCATAGCCCTCCGCTTCTAGCCTGAAACACTCCTCCCACAAATCAGCCAGCTTGACGAGAAACACCTCGATGAACTCGTTCTCTTCTAACTGAGGCTTGAGGTTCTGATTCTCAGGCAGGCTCATGTCGACACTGACGTGAACCATCCGGAGATTGGTGTTGCAGAAACCGGGGTCTGTTGACAGTTAGGACGACGGGGTAGCAGGGTCATAAAAGGGGGCACAGGCCGTTAAACATGACGGGTGATGTTTCGAGGACTTGAGCGACGTAGCCCGTCTCTTCCCTGAGCTCTCGAATCGCCGCTTGCTCGGCCGTTTCGCCTTCGTCCACCAGCTACCAACAATATCAGCTGCGAATTTCTTAAATGTCTAGAGGGGTTTCGGGAGCAAAATGCGCTGTCTCGGGAGCAGGATGCTCATGAAACAACCATAAAGGAGTATAAACAGACCACGAACAACGAAATTGTTGCTTACACCGGCGGGCAGCTCGATGCAGATCTTGTCTACTGGCGGCCGGTATTGCTTCTGGAGGACGATCTCGGGGCCTTCAACGGATCGTCGGCTTTCGCGGCCTGTGGAAAGAAGGCAACTGGGGCGTACCTGTGTCCTTCTCGAGTATGGCGACAATGCCTACGCCATCAATGTCGCAGTTCTTCGGCCGGGTGGTCCGTTCGGCCGACTCCCATGTTCGCTTTACGCCATTGGGGTCTCGGTATATCTTCCTTGACGGCTGTCAGGTCTGGTTCCAAACTCTCCTTAGGTATACGACTCAAGAGCCCAAACCCAAACTTACTTGACCAGCTTCGTCCACACCGCCTCGCTCTGGGGCTATACACAGGCAGTTGGTTCCGATCGATTAGACACTCAAAAATACTTGGAACCAGACTGGGACATGAAACTCACGAGGGGCTCGGTGGATATAACTCTGGCTTCTCCTTCTGACATAGTTGCATAGACGCGGTATTCGGTCAACAAGGTAGCATCGTTTGCTAGGTGTAAGTGACCTTTTTTTGTTTTGTATCTGTTTTCAAGGACCCTCGTGCATATTGCGGTTGAACATGGCTAGCAGCGCTTCCCCCTGTGGGTGGGTCCGGGATTTTTCATCCAGTGATTTTCGGGTTCCCATCACGGTTCGCCAGCTCAACGTTCATGCAGTTTCTCCTGCCTGATGAGCTGGCTGTTCTGCTGAGCTGTCAACGCTCTATAATTGTCGGCGTCTCGAAAACTTCGAACTCCTATTCGCATCTTTCTGTCATAGCTTCCAGTTGATGGCATCCGGTAGGAGCCGCTCGACTTCGACTATAAAGGCAGAAGATATGTCGGGACATTCGGACGGAGTTGGCTACAGCCGGCGACGAGAGGCAACGCGAACTCGGCTGATCCTGACATGGCTGGCCACGTGCCTTCGTTTCTTGGACTTTTGAAGACGACATGATCCGGCAACTCTATCCTGTTTTACTTCTTCAACTTCCGTTAAGGTTACTCTAAAACGAGATATGTCTATTCTGTTTATCTGAAATGATCCATCGTGGGCTTCGATTAGGCTTCCAGGTTCTGCCTTGAAATCATCAAGTGAAGGGTTATGAAGCTGTACCTCGAGGATAACGTGTTGTTGCACCCTGATTTCGAGAGATTTCGGTTCAAAAACGCCTCCATCAGGTCTGCTGACCACCACACAGCATACCATATTCCGGCAGCCGCATTCGTCCCAACACAAGCGCATGGCGCTGCTTCATCCTTAAAATCAGCATATGGCCATTAGTTTATGCGGGGACTTTAATGGACTCCGAGGCTCAAGACCTGTCCATGCGACGTCACCACGCATTGGCAGGGTTTCCAGTTGAGTAAAACCGCGCCGCATGACAGCGCGACAGAAGCAGTCTCCAGGGCTCAATCTCAGACTCGTGAAAACTTGAAACAGCTGCGTCAATGGCCGGTTTTTGCAATTCGGAACTTCCGCCTGCCCTTCTTGGCGTAGCAGCGGCTCGTTTTATCAGCCAGAGTTACCGATCCCTGGCGACACAATACCAGACTGTGCTTTATCAGGGCACCGCTTACGTGGGCCCAACACTCATTTCAGTCATACCTAACTACCCTCGCTTCCTCATCAACAACTCATCTCCCTCAATTTCGCTCGTTGATTGCTTTCACGCTTTTGATCATTCAGAGACCTAGCTACTTTCCCTGCCCGACGTGAAAGCAGCACCAATAATTAAAGCTCTGGGACCGGCGCAACGATGACCGAGTCCCGCGGCCGCTCCATCGAGCGGATCGACGCTGCACTGGACCCCGACACGGAGCGGACTCCGCTGCTTGCCGGCACACCCACCCCAACAACCACGATCTCAACCCCATCACCATATTTCGACGACACCATCAACGACGCCAGTGAAGATGAATCTCCACCCGTCGCCCTCCTCCGTCCCCGCGTCATCATCATATCCCTGGTCTTAATCTTCCTCATCGAACTGGGAATCGGCATGATCATTCCCCCACTCAACGCCGTCATGGAAAGCATCATCTGCAGGCGGATGCATCCGGAGGTGTTCTCGCCTCCCCCGCTCGTCCCCGAACTGCCGTCCGCCAATGTTACGATGGTTGGGAAGATACGGCACTTTGCCGGCGGCCTGATCCTCGCCGACGACCCGGCTTGCAAAGGCCCCGATGTGCAAGGCTATCTGGCCATGCTGCGCGGGTGGGCCAACACGTTTGAGAGCATCCCCGGTATCGTTGGGGCTGTGCCGTATGGGATTCTGTCGGACCGCTGGGGCCGGAGGCCGTTGATGGGGCTGTCGCTGGCTGGGATCGTCTTGTCTTACGTGTTTACTTATGCCGTTTGTAAGTTCCCCTTTTCTACCCGTGGCATGGGTTTGGAAATTGATTAATGGTGCAGTGTACTTCTCGGATGTGGTGCCATTGTGGGTGACGTGGTTCTCCGCGGCATTTCAGCTGTATGTACCTCCTTTCAGCTCCTTGTGTTAGGCAAAACCAAGCCGTGGTTGCTGATGCTGCGCAGGATCGGCGGCGGGGGAGCGATTGTTATAGCCATGTTTTACACCACTATTGCCGATGTTGTGCCCTCGGATGAGCGCGCGACCGTCTTTTTCCAGCTCGGCGCCGTGTTCCTCGCCTCGCAGATGGTCGCTGGACCTCTCGGAGGCGCCATGCTGGTTTGGAACCCCTGGATTCCGCTGCTCGTCGCCCTCGCTGTTCTAATTGTCACCAATACTGCGGTTTTGGCGTTTCCCGAGACAGTCCATGTGCATGATCGGAAGCGGCCGGAAGAGGAGCAATCGAGCAACGAGACCGGCACGATAAACTCGGACAATTTATGGCAAAAAGCACGTACCGGCCTCGCTGAGGTGTGGGATTTCATTCTCGGCAACACAAGCCTGGCTGTTCTTATGCTATCGCTAGTTTTCGTCATCTTGGGCAGGTTTGCCGGAGAGCTGTTGCTGCAGTATGCCACGGACCGATACGGCTGGGGCTGGAGCGTGGCCTCGATGGTCGTGACGATACGCAACGCGGCGAGCCTGGTGACGCTCCTTTCCTTGCTGCCGGTGGCCAGCTGGTTCTGTGTCCACCGCCTGGGCATGGCTGGTGTGGCCAAGGATCTCTGGCTCTCGCGATGGTCAGGCATTTTTTGTATCGTGGGAAACTTGATCGTTGCAGGGGCAGTGAATGGGACGCTCTTCTCGATTGGGCTCCTCTGGCTCGCCCTTGGATCGGGCATGACGTCGCTGATCAGGTCCCTCATCAACGCGCAAGTCGAGGAGCATCACGTCGGCACGGTCAACACACTGATTGGATTCATGGAGATGGTCGGAATGACTACGGCTAGCCCTCTTCTGGCGAAGAGTCTCAGCGTTGGGTTAAACCTCGGCGGGGCTTGGATCGGTCTGCCGTTTGTCACGACCGCGCTGCTCTTCTTGATTTCGACGACCATGCTGTGGACGTTCAGGTTGCCGAACGGGCAACAGGCATTTGTCCATTCTTCATGCTGATTGTCCCGCACTTGGGCGGCATGGCAGATCTATGCCAACAAAGAGACGTGGTGGGCGCAGTAGCCATGATCTTTTCCCCATCATTTGGCGATGACGGTGGCGGCTTTGGGGTTGGCTTGGCCTCAGTGTTCGCCCCCCTTGACGCTACCGCAGGGATGGAAATCATGATTTACAGCTGTGTATGCATGTGGCTCTCGGATTATTCAGATTATCATAGCGCATGGAGTCCTGGTCGTATAGAGGGCGTTCTGGGCGAAGACAGTACACAACAAGGTGAGCTGAGTGTGTTGTACAAGTACAATCCATTACCTCCGTACAATACATCTGGTTCACCTCCAAAGATGTCTCGAGGTATCACAGGTCCGAGCGTACCAAAAACCCGGTTTTCGGTCCGCCAAAAACCGGCGGGTCCTCATTTTCCCCGCCAAATTCGGCTCCGTGCTTGCAGGTCATTTGCCTTGGTGGGCCTTCGATTTCTCGTGGAAAACCCAATACAAAACGCGCGCGGCCCGCAGAAAGAAATGGCGAAGTAGAAGGCCACGTGACTAGACTTTACGTGCGCAGACCTTCCAAAAGACGCGACGACGGCGAGAAATAACGTTACGCAGCGCAGAGAGCATCGGCACTCAAACACCACTGCTGTCCACGGTTACCACCCTAGGACAAACCCCTAATCATTCCTTTCTCGCCCGATGACTATGGCGGCCACTGCAATTGAGGATGCTCGCATACGCGAGGCAATGGAATATTATCTCCTAAACCTGGAGGGTACGGTGCCCCAAAACACAGTCAAAACCTACAAGCCTAAACAGCAAGAGTGGAAGGTCAGCTGGTCCCCTTCCTGGTACGACTCTTAATCCCATTTCTGATACTACGATAGGATTGGTGCCTCAAGCATTGGGACCCGATTCCTGAGGATTGGGCCGTTAGACAGTCGACCTGGCCGCTAGGGCGACC